GGCCCCCACTCTACAAAGCCATACACAGAGGAACTAATAAATCCTGATTCCTTGTGGACTTATGTCTTCTCTTCTACCTTCCCCACCTCACCCCTCCCACTGAGCCCAATGACCCAGCACCCTCCCCAGGGTCCTTTTTCACACACAGCAGGCTTAGCTCCTATTTATGTCCTCGAACTACTGCCTGAGCAAAAGGAAGCAAGTGCTATGCCAGGTTCCATGTGTGCAGACCAGCAGATTTTTGTTTGGCCTGTCTCGCCTATGCACTAGCCAAACTTATTTGGCAATCCCTACCTAAAACAGAGGAAATCTTTGGATTTATAGTCTCCACCAAGCCACTAATTTTCATGCAACTGGTATTAATTCAGCTATCTGCGAAATCTTTCTTGTTACTGAAATTGGCCAAAAGATTTAAGTTATTTCTGAGGAAGGGGTAGAATAAGACAGACTACAAATATAGAAGCAGAGGAAACCATGCTAAAAATATTTTAAGTATGACAGCATTCTCTTAATATTTGTGTTGTACTTCTGTTCAGATAGAAGGTGACTTGGAGAGACTTTGACAGGCTTTTGCTAATTTTGAGATATTTCAGATCCTGCCAATTTCACTGACAATTTCTCAGCCCAGTAAAACAGCATTTGAAGGTATTGGTCAAAACATCCTAACACAGCTAGTTAAACAGTTGCTAATTATAGTTGTCTACTGACAATCCAGCATTATTCTGGGGTGTGTGTGCTTTTCCCAGGAGAATAAACCTGTATGTAATAATTCAAGTTTATAACATACAGAAATTTCAGTATTAAGTAACCCCATCTTCTTACATATATCAAAGGGTAATATACCATATGCTTCTTTCTAAACCAGCCCATTACAACAGGAACAAACAATTTTTACCAAAGGATATTGTCATCTGACAGCTGTAGAGTATTTGTAAATCCAGTCACACAGTGAGATTACAGCACAGATGATAAAAGTCTGTATCACTCTCCTTACTGACCTCCACACCTACACTAGATAAATCCAGTTCAGGGTTTGGCTGGAAGTACCAAGAGCTCTCCCCTCAGGCTTCTGCCTTTGTTTTGGATTTAAGAGATCTTCTGTGCAGTCAGTGACTGATCTTTAATAAAACAGAATTTTTTCCTACCTCTCCCTCTCTGTCTATGGGCACAGTAACTTAAGTATTCCAGACCATCAGAAAATTTTGAACATCTTCACTTTCTAATAATCTCCAAAGCATAGTCAGTATATGAAGTCCTTCATTGATAATCATTTGATTCCTCTGGAAAAAAAAAGAGATTTTCATTTGATAGTATTTAGTGATCAATGTAAAACAGTTTTTACTAACCAACTACAGCAAGTAACATTCATTTCCACCTTCATCCTACCATTTAAGACATACATGACCAATATGGTCATGTAAACTTGAGTGCAACATCCAAGTTCACTCTGCAACCAAAATGTGTGTTAAGTCTGTTCAGATACAGACTTTAATTACTGGGCCTCTACCTAGGCAGGCATTCCCCTCCCACAGCATGCACCCATCACTCCTATTCGCACTGTGACCATGTTGTGAATTCGCTGTACCTGGCTCAGGCTTTTAGCACCTATCCCAGACTGCCCTGCACAACAGTCAAAGGCTGGTGTCAGGCCAGAAACTTGGCTGGGCTCTTTCAGAGAGGGAAATGGGCAACATAGGGCAAGACAAAAACTGTAGCCAGTCATTTAAGCCAATGTGTGCAAGTCATAGACTACTCTATCCTCTAGTACCTCAGACTCTAAGTCCAGCAAACAATACGTAGAATTGATCTGGTCCAAGCCTCAGTAGCCATCTCCATCCATTATTTTTTCAGTGGTCTTATTCCCTCTGTTCTGTCAATTAACACAATTCTAACACTGTCATTTCATTCTCTCTCTATAAGAGAAGTCCCCGTTTCTTGGAATGCTGTCAACCTGGTAAGCTGAGTGACAGATTTACAACTGCATGTTTCCTTTTCTCAAGAACTTCAGTATTTTACTCCACATTATTGTGATTATTCATGCAAAAACTATTCCTAGCACCTTTTAGTTGCAACCACCTTTCTCGCATATTTTGAAGGATTTTTTTGTTTTAAAACATTTGGCACATACGAGTCAAGGATGACATTTTTACAGACATCGTAAAGCTCTACTGAGTGTTACGTACAAACAAGTACCAGCAGTTTCATTAGTGAATATTCATCCTGAGAAATCAAACACTTTTCAAAGGCAGCTTGTGCAATGCAATTCAGCTTTCTTGTGCATAGATGCAACTTTTGGTGTCGGACATTGCTATTTCACCTTTTGTGCTGAAAGAAAGGAACCAGAGTGTCTTAATTAAGACAATTCAAAATTAAAAAGAAAAAAAACTTAACCCATATTCACAAAATTCTTAGAACTGAATGAAACTGCTTTTGTTTGCGAAAATTCAGTGATTCACTCTTTTAAAGATACTTGGTCTGAAAAAAACAAATATTCCAAACACGAATTATTAAGGGAACATCACAAGCAATGCATATAGCATCTTGCAATGGCACGTTAAGCAGCATTACCTACAGGCATTGATCCCAAGTCTGCCACCTTCTGGACTTGGAACATTTAATCTCTAGAAACTTTCAGCAGAACAATTACAATTAGATGTCAGGGAGAAGGGAGTCAAGGAGCTTCTTCAGACAAAAAGTTATAACTAACAATGTTGATTTTGCCACATAGACAGTCTTCAGACAAAAGCAATAGAGAAAATTAATTGTTTTCCTTGTTTATGATATGATCTTACAGACCTCTTACATGTAAACTATTACCGTGGTTTCAGTATAACCCATCCACTAACTCAAAGTCTGTGACTACGAATACCAGAAAACCAAAGTGATTACAATAGCTATTTCAAAGGGCAACAGTGCTACATATCAGCTTACACTGACAAGTCAAATCTTTTCCATCAGTCATTCCTAAACAATGTCAGAATCATGCTCCTTGGTGCACTGCTGTATTTGGCAAAAGAAAAGTCTAAGATGCTAATACTATTTTTTATTTTTAAGCCAGTTTAAAGCAGAATTAGGTGCCCATGGCGACATGTCTGATTTTGAAGCATTGTAACACATTTATACTACCACTTTTAAAGTGCTTCATTTGAAAAAATTAACTTCCTTGAGCTTTTAAGCATTTGAATTGAATTTCAAGAGGCACTGATGTACAGGTACAAGTCAGAGCTTGATTCATTTCACTTTTCCAGAGAAAAAGCAAACTAGATCGTATTCTGCTCTCACCTGCACTCTGTGTCTCCAATTACATGGAATGGCTATTTATAAACTATGGTTATATTTGACTGCAGAATCTTCAGATATTTGTGAAACCAGAGCCATGTGGCATCCCAAAGCATTAGTTCAGACTGTTGGCTTTCTTAATTATTTGTGCTTACACTATCTTCTACACACAATCTGAGTGGATCAGAAAAGTAACTAATTATTATGAAGGCTGTAGTAGAAAGGGGAAACTGAATTCCAGCAAAATGTGCTTTTGGAATTAAACTGCATCCATCCAATAAATATATTATTTATTTTTTAATTATAAAGATCAAATAACATACAAGTTCTCCTTTTGGTACTATATTCAATTTAGATATTTCATGCAGCTCTATATATAGACCCAGACAACCATAGTCTGGTTTAGGTCACCAGTAACAACGTAATAACCTATAGCCTTTCCCTTGTATGTATTTGAACTACAGAGACTCAGAAACCGATGATTTTATTCAAGCAAAGGTTCTGATTTGAGAAATTTGTTCCCTAACAAAATGCTGCCATAGCTGAAAAGCTGTCAGGGTTGACACCACCATCTGCAACGGTACAGGCAGTGAAAGATTCACCTTGTAGGAGTAGCTTAGAGCCTCCAGTAAGATATTTTCCACTCCAAAACATTTTTTTTTTTTGAGACATTTTGCTTTAAAAAAAAAAAATGAAATTGCAGTTGAACAACAGCAAAGTAAATGTAAGAGTTAAAAGTTCCATTTCGATCCACTGTTATGGCCTTTCTGAATAAAGTCACTTTCAACTTCAGCATGTCTAAAGATAAAATCTTCATTCAGTTTACTCCCAAATTAACATAATAAATAATTCTCTTCATATACTCAAAAAATGTTTCTAAATCCCATCTTAAAGGACTAAAATTAATTCTTTACATTAATGAACTCATCAAACCATAAAACTTTATGTCAATTCTAAAATTGTAATTGTTTCATGGCCTCATAAGGATTTACTCCTGGAGAAACTATGTATTGTAGAAACCAAAAGCTTAGTTCATTCATATTTCAGAGGCAGGGTGACTCAAGAAACATTAATAACTAGAACTTCAATCTATGCAGGGGAATATATAAGCATTCAGTTAAAAGTAACAATGAAGTAAACAAGTAGAATCCAAATTAAACCAGTGTACTCTTTCTATGCTTACTAGGGAGAATTTGTTACACTCGCCGAAGGGAGAAAACTTAGCTTTGCTATTGGCAGAGAAGAGGTATTTGCACAACAAAAGCAATTTACTCTTTAAACTCCTCATAACTTGTATTTTAATCCTGCAAATTTAGGACCAGTGATCTGCTTGGATACAATATTTCACAAAATATAATAAAAGGTATACATCTGAACCTGAGAAAATATACAACTGTTTCCCCATTCTCATGAAATATATTACTTTGCATCAAAACCAGTTCTGCTAACATAACTGTTTATGTGTAAGCTATTACAAGCACACCTCTCTCTGCAAACATAGCTATACCAATTTTTCTTTACTTACACAAGGCACGTGCTCTAAACTCCAGAGAGTAATTGCATTAGCAAAGGTTGGTACAAGAACTCCCAATAAGGAAGCTGTCATTAAGGTACACAACTGTACAAGCCAACTAACTTCTGTTCAGAGAACTCACTAATATTCTGCTCCCACAGAAACAGCTCTAGGAGGGGAATCTTAAGAACAACAGGAAAGCACAGCATAAAGCAGTCTGGATTCGTGTTTATTGAAGCCAGTAGTTAAAGACGTCCTCATTTTGCCAGCACTAGAAAGCAAGATTCCACATGACTGCATACTGCACCTGATTAAAGCCATACAACTGGACTAAGGTTTGTTTCATACATTTGCAGTCCTAATTGTAAGTTGGAAAAAAAAAAAAAAAAAAAAAAACAGCAAAACAAAACCAATAAACTTAGTATACAGGACAGTGAATTTTCATTTACAGCAAGTATATTGTTAAGTTCATGATGTACAGAGCAGTCACTTTCAACGTAGTTAAATTAAATAAAATACGAAATTCTGTTCAGTTTAAACAGTTTTTTTTAAATGCCAATAAAAAAAGTGCAAACTTAAAATCAAGCAGCATAACCACAGCATTTTTATGGAGGGCCAATCTTTAAACTTTTCTATTTGCTTCAAGTTGAATGCTTTCATTTTTTGTTTTCTTAGTTTAAACGTGAACAGTAGATGCAGTCACTATAATGCATATAAATATAGTCATATAATAGTTTAAACAGTCTACCATACAAGTGTATCTGCAAATAAAATGAAGTTTCACTTGAAAATGTAAAGGCTGTTTGCAATTTGGCCTTTGGTTCCAATGCTTGAAGACACCAGAATAACAACTGTGCAGCTCACCAAAGTTGACAGACTTTGGCAACCACAGTATGCTACATTACTTACAACTTTCTTTCAATAAACTAGGAGCATTCACTTGCAATTAGAAACCAGAAATCTGTTTCTGTTTTGTCAGAAGCATCTTTCTGCAAAGCTGGCAAGTTATCACACATTATCAGTTTCGATCAATTTTATTATATTTAACATTTTAATAGAACTGGAAAATACTTCAATTTTGAGTTTTAGCCATATTGCTAGAGAAAGTGCTTATCAGGTTAGATGACAAAAAAAAAATGCAGTTTCAGACTGAGGTTTTCAAACTATATCCCATTATGATCACATGCCTTTCCAATTTTCCTGCCGAGTTTTTGATATTTTAGTTTCCAATCTCAATTCTCAGTGTCAGGAGGACAGTGTGTAATTACTTCTTCTGGTGTGGTAACTTGCAACTGGCACCCATTTCACCAGGAAGTACATCCACATTACCCATCAGCCATCCACAGTCTTAGTCTAACTGTTATCTAGTCAACTGTATAACTTCAGGTCATACCATTTATTAAAAAAAAAAAAAAAAAAAGTAAAAAAAAAGGAAAAATATAATATTTTCAACAAAAGAACTGGCACAAATAACATACTCATGTTAATGTTTGTCAAAGAGGCAAGTAAATACTCTTAGCTTTCTAGATAATGTTTAGACAGACTTAAAAGAACACCCTCTTCATTTAACATAGGATTTGAAGTTAACATCCAGTACTGTGTTAGTGGTCAATCTAATTCTGTATATTTAACTAACAATATATATTAGGGAAGTTATATCCAGACATCAGATTTAGTACAACAAGTTCATATCAATAAAAAGTAAACTCTGCATAATTCAAATTGTGGTTTTTCCCTTCAACATTAAGAGCACAGAATATGCTTGGTATTTTTAATTTATGGTAGTGTGTACATGTAAAACAAGCATACCGTATATAAAATCAAAGTGCCACTTCAGTAACCATAGCAGTTTTGTTTGTTTTTACAGAATGATGGTTTTATGTGACCATGGACAGAGCTCCGTTAAACCAACGGGCACAACCACGACCCATCTTTCCAAATGAAATGCTACATTAAAGAAAATATAAAAACAAGTTATTGAGTATGTTCATCATGGACACATTCATACTATTTAGGTTACCTTCAGGATTGGAGTTGGCTGCACCTGCAGCAGATGTGGTTGGAACTAGGGCCTTGAAAGCTTTTTTAAAAACCTCCATAGGTGTAAGGCAGGAATCAATTTTAGCTTCGTAGCTAATATTTAGTTACAAAAAGTAAGAAAAAAAATACTGAGTCTTCTGTAGCACATTTCATTATGGGAAAATGATACGTCACCCACCATTCCTCATAGGCTAGCCTCTTGGCATAAAAAAAAGGCAGAAGCTATCAGAAAACAGGATTTAAAATTAAATACAAATTGCCAAACTACTGATTTTAAAATAAAACCAAACAGTGACTGTTTGTACTACAGTGCACAGTAAATTCAAGCACCTTCTAAAGACACATCACACGCTGTGCCAGGCACTTGGATCTAAACAAGTTATAGTTTCTCCCTTTGTCAGCTACACCAGAAAGGGCATCCACACTCTTAGACGTTTTTTAAAAACTAAAAGAAGATTTATAACAAGAATAAATTCCCATGATGCTTAGTGTTTGGCCTGGAATTCTCCAATGTAAAGTAGTCTTTTTAAAACAGTGATTAGTTACCCCATGTGAAACACAGGATTTGACAACATTGCTCCTCTCCAGTCAATCCAACATTCTTGTTTCTCACTGTCCCAATTCTGTTTCCTTTTCCAGGGCTCCATTCCCTTCCTAGGCTCCTTTCACCTAATTAATGCTCTGTTACACCACCACCACCACCACCTGTCCAAGAATATAATGCATTTGCAAACATACAAGTAGCCAATTCCAGTAATTCTGAAAGAGGATTTAATTTCTCTTTCTTGCCTTGTGTGCAGTCAGTAGCAGTATTTCAGTAAGAATTCTCCATTTTGCTTCTCTGTGTTCTTCACAACAGGAAATGCAGCTGCACCTGCTTACCTCCAAAACCAAAAGAATTGCCCTATATAAACTCTAAATGGTTATCTTATACAGAGGGATTTTATATGCAAACTTCCTGAATGTGCACTTCTTACTGGGACAAGGCAATGATGTAGTAAGCTCATTTCCCCTGCCCCAAGAAAACTGATAGCATCTGCCATAGCAGAAAATTCCTGGTCTTATCAGATCAATATACATAGTTATTTGGTCATTTACATATGCATTTTTTATGCGCTATCAAGCTTCATTCTCTGTTGGAGGAGAGTTTGTTGTTACCATAGGGTCTGGCTTGCGAGTCATCCTATCCAATTCCTCTTGAACATTCGTCAAAACTGTTTTTTGTCCTAAAAAGAAAAAGGATAAAGGTTAAAGCAATCTAATTTATATTAGATGTTTTCACTGATGAGTAAAAGTATTCATAAAATCACTTTTGTATGACAATATATTATTTCTTATTATTTCACCACCTACCCAAGAACACAGGTTCTGACATAATGCAAGGTAATGTCTGTGTAAAGACTGATAAATACTAAGGCTCAATTCACTTTAAGAGACGAAACGCTGAATTATACAGCAGCATAAAGCACAAAAATATCTGTGATATATTTTCCAGGAACTAACATTTTAAAAACAACCACATTTAGAATTTTCTATAAAAATCAACTGTACCCAATTCTATTATTAGTATTGATAGCAAGGACTTTATTCAAACTCAGATTTTAACCACAGGTTTTCCAAGGTACGTAGGACACCTGCTACAACAATCACGTTTGGTCACACTTAAACTTGCTGTATTTTAATATTAAACAACTAAGAACTCTTTTAGGTCTGCAGACAATGTTTCCCTTAAAAAAGGGGACATGAATTGCATATTCATGTAATATCTCCGAGCAGTCATTTCAAAGGACTTCTTCAATTGGAAACAGACACACTGAAGTATTTCATGGAAAGGCATATCTTACATTTTTATATGAGACTCAAAACTTCTTAACAATTCTTTAACTGAACCATCAGCTTAATTCTCACATTATAAAAACTGTAAACCCACAAATTAATCACTAAAATCAGAACAAGATATTCTTATGATTAGAGCATACAAGCATTTAAGATTAAAAAGCTGTATTTTTAGTCAAAAAGTCGATTATATAGCCATGTACACCTTCCTTACATAGCCAAAGAATTTAACAAGCATCTGTTTTCCAGCTCAAATGTGTGTGAAATATTAGGTGGATTTTTTCCAGGGTACATGCTGAAAACATTAAGAAGGCAAGATTTGACTTAGAGATTTAAGTGGTTTTTTTTTTTTCCAAAGTACAAAGCATAACCAAGTTAAAAGGTTACCTTTAATCACTATAAAGCTTTTAGATTTAAGCGCTAGTCATAAGCCACAGTTTTCTTAACATCTATTCAAAGCATGAGTATTTAAACAAAATTTTAAAATTAGTACATTAACTGTAATATAACTTACAATACAAAACACTTTACATGTAGACTAATAGTACCTTGGAGTTAAACAACCCTAAACTCTAAACCAATAAAAACCACACAAAATTACTGCTCAAACAAAAGTAGGTCTAAACAAAAACTGTGGCTTTTTTTTTTTTATGCTAGATGAACTGGATCCTTAAGCCTCCAAAAAAATACTAAGCAGCTCTCTCCTGCAACTACCTCATACTGGACAGGAAAAACATTGCCAAGCTGTTTGATGATGTGTAGGTTTGCATACTCCCCTTTATCACCATCACAGGTGAGCACCTTTCAAAGGAGAAGAAATACAAGGAGCTGTTTTTAAGAAAATAAAAATCTCCCCTCCGTTATAAATTGAATTGATACTTGCTTTTAGTTTCCCTACAAAAATATTGTCAAAGACAGTAATGGCCTTAATCAATTACATGTGTTAATACAATCACAGGTTTTCTCCTTTCTAGATCAGAGTAAGAGCAGGAAGCCCTAGTTCTTTATCTGTTGCACAGGAATAGAAGGGTAAAGGCAAATCTTAAAAATTGCAAGAATCTTCTTGTGAACATTAATGAAATAACATTATTAAGTCTCTAAGTCAATGCACAAAAAAAATAACATACCACAGAAACCACCAATTGAAGTTCTTTGAAATATCATGGTCTACACATGGAAGACAGACAGTCCAGAAACATAAAGGCAAATAAAATGGGTGAAGAATTACATGGCATGAAAAATGGACGTAACATTGCAGCATCTGCCCAGATGAGAGAGTTCTCTCAAGAGTTAACATAGCAGAAACTAATCAATCAACTAGGCTGACCAGTATGTTGAGATCTACAGTGTCTCCCTCATCCTGTGACAGAATCTCAAAAGTTTCAACCACAGGATATTCATAGCTGTGGGAGAAACAGATGGTCTCTTTAGAGCTAAATATTGACTGTCAACCTTCTGAAAAGCTGAGATGAGAAATCCAAAATGCCTACAAAGATTTTAGCACATGTACTCACAGAGGATGCTGCTGTAAATAAGACTTTTTCCAAGATATTCTCCTTAACTCTTCCACAAAAGAGCAAGTAATCTCTTGTGTTATCATCAGCACCAGCTGCCTTATAAAATCAACAAGAGCTTTTCAGATACAAATGTTAGGAGCCCTTACCTTCTCAGGAAAGTTTAATCTTTAATTTGTTGAATATAAAATGTGTGCAGATCAGCTGACAAGGAATAGGCATATTCTCTTGTGAGTGAAAGCCGACAGTTCTGTTCCAAAAGTCAGGGAATGAACGTGAGCTGCCAACTTGATGCAGCCAAGAAAAGTCAACTGCAATCTTGAGAACACTCAGGAGAAGTACTTCCACCAAAGAAAGAGAACTGCTGTACCAGGCACTACAATGAGATATATCTGGAGCGCTACATACAATTCTAATCACTCATTCAAGAAAAGATAAGCCAATGATGGGAACTAATGAGGAAGAAAGTAGTAGGGAAAACAAAGCTCAACCTCTAACAGAAGACTAGAAGAGAACTTGTCTAATTTAGTCTAACAAACAAGAAAGTTAAGAAGGGATATGACTGCTATCTCTAGATGTTTCAAGAGAGAAATAATCTATTTAAATTAGAAGTTAATACTGACATGGTAAAAAAAAAAAGGTACAGACAGCCATTTGTTATCTTTGAAAACTCCTGAAAGGCACATGTTCTAGAAGACTGAAAGGGGAAAGAGTAAAGCCCATTACACACTAGTTAGTTTTTACTCTAGTATTTTTTCCAGAAATTGCAATTATGTTTTAGGTGCTTACAAACAGCCTACCAGCACAAGAATCAACACAGATCTGTTACCAACAAGTTTTGTCAGGTCAACCGAATTTCTTTCTATGATAGGATAACAGGTCCTGTGGAGAAGGGAGAAGTGGTCGGTATCACATCTCACATAACCTTCATATAAATAAACTAGGAAAAAAAACAGTCTTGATATTTCAGAAAAATTAATGTATTGTAATTCATAAAATTACCCATTAGTTATCCATATTTTTATTCGGCAATCTACCCTGTCCAACTATTGAAGATATCAGATATGTAGGCAAGCATGCTTGAAGGAACTACAAAGGATTTTGGAAGACAGGATTGGAGGTAAAAAGTTATCTAGATCAATTATGGAAGTAGTGCGTAAGAATAGAATGGAAAACAATGATTAAGCAAACATATAACCTTTGAAATACTAAGGTGATTTGATACAGACTAGAAAACCTCCTACTAGAAGGCAGAAATTGTATTAAACTGGCTGTATTGTTATAACAAATCCTGATCAATATTATACAGATGAAAAAAAAAACCTAACGTCATGCTGAGACATCTAAACAGAAGCACAACACATAACGCAGATTAAGTAACCCCTACTCAGGGCAAAGCCTGGTCTGACATACTGCATTCATTTCTTAGCACCAAAAGGAACAGGTCAACTGAGTAGACAGCCCGAAGGAGAAGAGAAAGAATCAGAGCCATAAAAACATGTCCTGGGAGGAAAGGCTGACAGAAGTGCCTTTTTGTAGTCCAGACAAAAGTCACAGGCGAAAGAACAACAGCCTCCAAATATGCAAAAGACTGCTGCAAAGACAAAGGGGCTATACTGATCTCTGTTTCCACTTGAACAAGACATATAGTACTGGATTAAGAAATACTGACTGTACGAGAGAAAAAATAACTAAGAAATAAAGTGCTGGACAAGGCTTCCTGGAGAGATGACATTTAATCTTTTATTTCAGAGTTTGTTTTTTAATCACTAGCCAGGAATTCCCTCGCAGATTCTGCTTTAGATAAAGAGCAGGGATGAAGGAATCCCTAAAAATTATTTCTGGTTCTATTTCAATAAAAACAGTTAATTTGACATTGTGGCCAGTAAGAGCACGAGGCTGCACTTGATGAAGCAGGGGATACCTTTCGGTGTTTAACTGAAGAGGGCATTCTGAATGAAGAACAAATAATTATATAAATATATATAATTATATAAATAATGTATCAAACAAATAATTCGCTTAATGTTATTTTTATAATAAATATATTTAATAAAGATCTATTACAGAATTCTAAAACAAAACAACAACAAAAACCGAGAAAAATACATACTTGCCATAAAACAAATTCTAGCCATTTTTGAGCTTTCAGAGCATGGAATGTTATATAAAACCCTTGCCAATTAAACAACAACAACAAAAAAGGCCTTATTTCCCCTCTCCAGGAATAGTTTCAGTTCAAATACCCACATTCCATCAACTGCTCTTGTTCTCTTACTGGCAATACGATCACTGCGGCTGGCATCAAATATTTTTCATTTCCAGTTCAGCATGTCTGGGTCTTACACTCTTCTCTAAGCATCAGAAACTGTGGGTTTGGCATCACCATTAAATTTTACATTATTTTAACAACTTTGGGATCAGAAGTAGAATCTACCAGTAAGTGAGTAGTGATATAATTCTGTAAGGAAAGCTCCTGAACATGTGATAGGGATGCCAATATAAAAAAGAAGCAGTTAATTAATCAAAGTAGTAAATTTCTAGTATTGGGTGGAACAACCATGTGTTTTACAACACTGAGTTTTGTATAGATACCAAGTATTCTGATGAGTGTCTTTTAATTTCACCTTAATTAGTGCAATTACTTATCAGCAAATATCTCATACAGTGCAGTCATATGCACAGAATCAATTAATTTGATCGGTGTTATCAGTTGTGTTGGATCGCAATAAAATACTAAATAAATAACAAGAGGGTAACTTCAAGCTGTCATAAGAAGTAATTAATTTGAACTTGAACTCTGGAGAGATTTGAATAGTTTGACTGGAAACTACAGTCCAAGCCCAATAAACTGCATTTCCTTCAAGCAACAGTAAAGTGTCAAGAAAGGAAGGAAAAGTTTCTAAAGTAAAAAAAGAAATCAGCACTTTCTGCATATGATCAAGACTCAAACATTACTTATATCCCAGCAGTATAACTTCACTCAAATCAAGTTATAACAGGCTTAATAGAAGCCCTGGAGAGTTGTGAAGTTGCAGTAGTTTAGTTCTTTTTTAAAGACTGCACATTTTGGTACTGTCATCTGTCAAGGTCTGTCCCTTCACAGAGCGGTTTAAAAGACAATAGATCAATGTGAGCCAAATAAAATACTAAAAATAAGTAAAACAGCCTGCAGTAACAACGCCAATACCTGATTTCTTGGCTGTACTTTGCACTCCTCCAGCACCAGGACTCCCAGGAGAGCCAGTCTTTTTGCTCAAGAGACTGTTAAAGAAACTAGCCAAGACACCTTCACTTGCAGCATTATCTAAATAAAAAACAAACACATATATATATATATGTATCACAGAATAGTTATTGCTGATAAATGATATAACAATTAACTTCTATACATGCATAACACTTTTACCAATCAAGGAAGTAAACCTCAAATATGACAGAGTCTCTCCTTGCTCAATTTAAAGACACTAGTCCTTTGCATTCTTTAGCAAAGTCAGAGATGACTGAAAGTATATTACTGCTCTTCTGGAATGGGGAGGGGGATGTTTTCACAAAATCTTAATCTAAATATTTGTATGCATTTGTTTTTTATAAATGTAGAAGCCAAGAAACAAAGTATGGATGTTCAATTCAAAGACTTGTAAGTCCATGAACAAACTATGTAGATGTTTTATCACAGTCTTTCATGCCACACTATTTTTCATAAGCCAGAACCTGGATATACAGCAATGAGACATGATCCAGAACTGCATGAGTATTTTATCCACTTCAAGTGAGGTATGGTACGACAGTGACTAATTAAAAACAATACTGGCCCTACCAACTTTCTTAATGCACTGAGAGGAAAGAAACCATTCAACATGGAGCACCATGTTAGAGCTGAGGGAGGGGAAAGGGTGTAATTTCCAAGTTACTTCATGTACTATAGGAAACTACATTCTTGAGAGGATTTAATGGAAGAACAAGTTTTATTGTGGATTCCAGAATAGGTGATATGAAGTATAAAACTGCATGTAGTGTAAAGCAGTTCCCACTCTAATAATCCAAGCGATGCATAATAAATGTATTTAGACAACTTAAGGAAATAATGTATTTGAACTCTATCCGACAGCCTGGCAGTAACAGAACTCAGAACTCTACTTCAAGTCATATGAATGACACAAAAAAAGAAAAATCAAACCCTAAGTTAAGTCATAAATTCATTCATGTTATTAAACGAACTATAGTATTACCAAATAAATTCCAGAATCTTTCTACAAAAGAGGATTTTTTTTTTTTTTAAGGGAAATCACACATGATAAAAACAGTAAAATGCTTATTCATACTTTTAATATTTGGATCTGGTTTCTTAACTGATGTTATTGGGGAGGCACTGGGTACATTGGCAGGACCAGCTCTGCCTTGAGTTCTTGGGGATCCTGCAGGGCCTCTTGCAGGAGATTCCTTAAAAAAAGTCCAAATCACACAAGTCAGAGAAGAAGTTAAATGGATTAGTTATATAAAGCAAATGTAACATTACATACAAATTACTTTTTAAACCTTAGTATTAGCACTGTAGTGTATGCACACTAGGAAAAACAAAAGAACAAAAGCAAACAAAACACCAACAGTTATTTTGGGCACATGCCTCCACTAAAAAAAGAAGAATCACTGTAGGAAATCTTCAGTTCAATAATCAGATACTTCCATGTTTCCACGGTGAATTAGAATGAAGTAATTTACAAGCAACTTTTTAAATTACTGACACTTTTTTTTTTTTTCATTTACTTTCTGCAGTTTGGGGACATTATGTATTCTACATTTATAAAATGAACTCTACAGGTTAGAATCATTCTATCTTCCCTCGAAGGAAAGAAAACACCTCCTACTCTTCTCTTGGATCTACTTACTGATGCTCTTGTAGGCGTTGCTGGCTGTTTGGCAAGGAATGACTGCAAAAAGAACACATTAAGAATATTAAACATATTTTTGAAAATATAAAGGAATAAAATACAGCGAAGCTGACTAACCATGAATTTTCTGATATTTACAGGCTTCCTCTTTGATAGTTACCTACTTCCCAACTTTACCAACAGAGGACAGCATTAAAATGCGTAAAGAAGCTTCAGTCCTTGTCTTACGCAGCTGTTTCAGAATTATAAAACAGAACCATAGACACCCAAGTCTGTAATCTCTGTGATATTTATAATCAACTACACAAGAAAGTATTATTGGGGGTTTTTAAACAATAGAACAATAAAGAAAATAACAAGATACAGTATAAACAAATTTAATACCTTAAAGTCTTTCAAGCTTCCCGCTCTAAGCAAGCTGCAATGCTAAGATGTTATGTCTTAAAAGTATTTATATTTTACAGACCAATACATCTATGTTGTGAAATTTCAAATTCTCTTCTTGCTCTTCTACTTTGAAATGTAAATTATTTCTGTTCTCAGCATATTTTCAGTTCAGCTTGCCAAGATAAGTGGCCATATTTGCCACTCATATTTGTTAAAATAAAGAAGTCTTATTTCACAATTACATCTGAATTTACAAAGCTGAAAAATGGCTATCTATTGATTTAAATGAGGAATGAAAAACAACTGAATGCAATAACAATGGAGATCTTAAAGCAAAATCTTTTTTAGTAAGGACTTATTTGCATTCTTCCATTCTTACCTGCTGCTTCATAAGAAATACTTGTTCATCTTCTGCTGCCAGCTCTTTATCATGGACTAACTGTTGAACAAAATACTTTGCTATTAGAAGTAAGAAATTAAATTACTGTAACCGTTCTTAAGGTTTGGTGATCAAAAGGGAAGAAAAAGAGGCAAATCTTTAATACCAGTCTTTACTTTTTTGGTTTAAAAAAACCACAACTTCTGTCACATTTAAAACAGTATTAACATTAAAGAAGTTGTAATTAAAAAAAAATACTGTAAGTGAATGGAGCAGACTAGCATTGATGCCAGCCCGCAGACATTCTCTGAGAAAGGTAAGTACTTGGTAAATAGCCATGTTCATCTTTTTAAATTTAGGTATTAATTTCATCAGCATCTCTTCAAAAATCTGAGATTACCTGACTCCGTAAAACCTCACACTCAGTCCCCCTCAGCCCCCAAAAGCATTATGCTAGCTCTTTTCAGTCATAACACTGCTCTTAGGCAAGGATTATTTCCTATAGGTGCCATGAATTACAACAACAGGATTAAAACTTTCCCTTACGTTCAAATTTCAAACAGCTCTTCCCTTTTCCAAGTACTAGGGCTTGAGCTAGAAAAATTAAGTGTGTAAGAAAGTTGTAAAAGATGCTTTCCAATACAAACCAGAATACAATTTCATTTATAACTTTCCGTATTATCCATTTCACACGTATCCTAGTCCTGTGTGCCTACACTCACAAAATTAAAAATATACAGAATTTACATGGATTATTTACTGCTCTTGTTTTACATGAAGAAATCTGTCATTAATAATATGTTAATGCAGTAGTGATATACTGTCTTGTTTTACAAGATCTGCCTTTACATGGCAACCTCAGTGCCTTCTGTATATATTTAAATTGTTGAAGTCCTACAACAGTATTTTCCATTTTCAAAAAGCATTTATGCCCCACGCATGCAAAAAGGTTGATATAAAATGGTTATTTTTGGACTGTCTTTGACTCACTAAGGTGAGTAATTTCTGTGTTTGCTTGCAGTATTTTAAATTGGAGAATGAAAGCCTGATGTTTCACACATTTGGATTAAAAAAAAAAAGTTACATGTAGATTCGGAGTTCTTCAATATTAATAGTCATTAGCAGCCATACAAGCAAACTGCACTTTGTTGGGGAACAGGGAAGAGTTTACCCCTTTTTACCTTTCTTACAGGAGGTTTTACAATGAAGTCCTCATATGCATCTTCTGGTTTCACTGTTGTGAAGTTTTCATGTAAAATGGCAATTTTCTTTTCATTGTCCCAACCGGCAGGTCTATAAAAAGAAGTAAAGCTTTTCTTTTCAATCACAAAAAGCACTTCTGCAGAGACTCTTTATCTACTGCCCTCTACTTAAACAAGCCAATTTCATTATAGGTCAGTCCTAATTCTCAGCTAAATTCCAAAGATACTAAAACGCTAGAATGGTATACGCTGAGTCAAGTAAACCAAGTAATATGCACTAAGTTGTTTTTTTAATTCAGGATTCAACAAGACTCACATACTAAACTTTTGAACAACAGAAACAATTCAAGTTACTTTTATACATAAATGTTATATGTGCTACTTAATAGAAAACAACCTGAAACCATACTGCTTGTACAATTGACTTACATAAAAACTGCATCCTTTTCTACCACTAAGGCAGGTGTGGTAAACTGAAAACCGTATGTTTTATGTACAATGTACTTATACAACAGATCAAGGTTCTTCTCCTCCTTAACTGATGTATAAATCAAGGCAGCCCCATCTGATTATTTATTTAAGGAAAATTATGTAAGACACAGTTTTTAAATTATAGTAAGAATTTCAAAATAGAAGCTAATGGGCATGTATCTGCCAGACTTAATTTTGAGAAGTAGTTCAAGACAAAAGCTATAGCCATTTAGTATTCAGGAAGAGGAAGGGGGTGTAACAGGAGAAGACTCATGATACTTTTCTTTGACATACACCAAAGTTACCTACCCTCCCAGGCACTTAACTTTGAAAAAGTCAAAAACTTAATAGACAGTTGAGATCTCAGGTTTACATGGAAATTGCAAGTTCTGAGGAGAAAACCAAGAAAAACCACCTTGCAAAATGCAAGACAAACCCTTCGTAAAGGAATAAAAGCTCAAAATCCCATGCAGAATTTAAAAAAATATATAAGAAGTTTTATACATTTCTCAACATTTTCAAAACGACAAATGCTACATAGTAAATAACTAAATACCAAGTAATCTTGAAGTGCAATTTCTCAGATTAACTTTATTTGCAATTTAACACTAAAACTTATTTTCTTGCTTCCACATTACAGCAAATCTCTTCAGCCCAGGAAAGGATACACTGTAAGCAGAATCTACGAATGTGTGACTGAATGAAGTCGAAGTGTTCTTCTCTGTAATCATGCTCCTTCTCTAGTACACTCACCGCATCACACTGGAAGAAAGGGAGAAAAACAAAACCAGAAAAACCCAGTCACTTGATCCTAGCACATCTGAAGACGTCTTCCTTAGTATTACACACACGTCACATTTACTTTGAGCCTTTGGTATTAAAATGCTACCAATAAGTCAAAAGATAAGGTAATTAACATATAATCGATAAGGTTATTGCTCTTCTGCAAAATCAGAAACTGACACTGATGGTAGCTTACATATAACATAAATCACTCTACTACCAATCCATAATTAATTCTGCATGTCTGTATAAAGCACGCCTTCTAAAAAGAAAAGTAATTAATTAAACTTTTCCATAGTAGCACAGAACTAGAAACTCACTTTTGTACAAACTACGAGCACGGGAATACCAAGGTTGTGAGTCAACACATTTTCTCCCAGTGGCAAAGAAACATGTTCATCCTCTTGGCCAGAAGAAGGGCCTCTTCTCTGTGGTGATCCTTGGTAGCCTTCTTCAGGTTCTACATACTCTTGAAACTCCTTCATAACTATTAAGAGAGACATCTTCTTAAAGGTACAACAAAGGAACTAGTTGTTCTTTTTAAACCATAACTAATCTGTGACTAACTAGGAATCTCAACTTTTTTTTTTCCTTTTATAATGAGGCACCATATGAGAACAGAATGCAAGCTTAAGACTTGTTGCTCCTTAAAACACAACAATTCTCCACCACCAAAATCTACAGCAAGCTAAATCAAGTGCAATTTGGAGCTGTTACAAATAATCAAAACTAGCTGCAAGAGCTACAGTACGCAAAAAAAGCACATTTCTCAACTCAATGCATTTCATTATAGGGGAGTTGACAACAAAAGATGTAAATGTAGTTTAGCAACATAGCCTATACTCAGTGCAACTTGTACCTAGTTTTGGAAGAAAGCATGGTGAAAAGGTAAATGGACACAGAAAACGCCAAGCTGGAAGAGCCACTCTTTCTTATAAACTATTACTCAATTTATGTTTCTTTTAGTCTACGTATCTGTGGCAGAAGTCCAATGCTTGAAATACTGAAGAAATGTACTGCATAAATACAGGCTCAAGGACTTATAAATGTTATCCGAAGAGACTCAGTTATATTCTGGAAAACTACAACAGAGTCCAGAGGAAACTTTCTATGTTTTCAATGCTTTCATTTCATGGCAACTATGAGTGTTCCAATAATACTGAATACTATCAAATACTGAAGTGCCTAAGAAATAGTATTAACACCATTTTGGAAGCATACTGTGACCCCACACACGCTTTATCAAAACTTACAGCTCTTACGTTTTTTTTCATTATGAAAGACACAGACCAGATAAATCTGCTTACTGTACATGTCTGCTCCCAGGCACAGCACCTCCTGAAGGCCCAGGGCTCTCCCTCCCATGACAATCCCACCTGAAGCCTCCTCCTTGCTCAGCCATGAGGAGCCCTCAGGAAAGAAGACAGCAAAGCTCCATCATTTGCTCCCATGAAGGCATCTTTAACTTAGGAACAGTGGGAGCAGGCTGACTGTATGTACAGTAAAGAAAACTCTGAAAAAGCTCCCAATCTCCAGCACAGTTACAAAGAGAGTGTTGTTCAGTACATCCACCCATGTGACAGGGAAGGAACTGCAACTGTACTACAGGCCATCTGATACTTCTGAGGTTTGGGAAGTGGCAAAATCTCAGAAAAGTTTGTAATACAGATCTTGCAAAATAAAGTCACTGTATCTTTTCAAATTAGGAATCATTCCTGCAATAGAACGGGCATGTGGAAGGAACACAAATCAGAAAAACACTTCTGTTCAAAGCTGCCCAAGCTACCATTTTTATCTGAAATATAAACTTGTGTGATTCTTGTGGAAGACAAGAGAACTCTAGTCCAGAAGAAAGCTTAAAAAACGCATTACATACAGACCATAAGACTTCCAATCACCAATTCAATATATCCCAAGGTCCAAGGAAATTAAAAAAAATTCAAATGCAGTTGCTTTTAAACTCGGCGAGGCAGTGCCTTCTGGTGGAGAGGAAACAAAAATGCTTTCAAAGAGATGCTTTCCTCTAATACTGTTTCATATTCATCAAATGGAAATAAAAATTCCATTATACATTCTCCATACTAAATATTTTTATTGACTATGTCACAGAAAGAAAATTGGTTCCAGAGCAAAAGAGTTTAAAAAAAGTACTTATTTCATTACTTAGACTATTCCTAGCTCAGGATAAAAAACAAACAAACAAACTACTTAAGACAATTCTATTACACCAGTTAAAAGAGAATCATTTACATCCACTACAATCACTTAGATAAGCCTCTCTCACTTAGTCAGATGTAAAAGAATATTTGACAATACTGCTCTCAGTTTACTACAGCATTATAATCAGACAATATTAGTTTCCTAGGTTTTGTTCATATCTAAGCAGAAAAATATTTCCTTTACTGAGATATCTATTAGTGTAAACCCCCTCAAATTTGGGAAATAGTCTCTTTTGAAAACGGTCAGACTGTGACAACATGATATATATCATTATTCAAGATATTCTAAGAATTTTACTAATATAAATACTAGCTAATGCAATATAGAAACTTCAGAAATTTGATGGCACATCCTCATGAATTTCTGCTGAATGTAAATGAAGACCAAAATCCTAGAGCCTATGTTCCCAACTCTTCCCTCTCCCCAAGAGTAAGCAGTACCAAACACCGTGCATCACAGACCAGTCACCAACAAGGCCATATCTCACTCTGGTTGATGTGTGCATGGCGGGAGAAAAAAACTTCACTGTCAAGATGAACTGTTGTGGATTCGTAATAATGTATATGGTCTGGCATTAACCCCTGACCAGAGACTGAGAAATGCTACAGAAAACACTCAGCCTTGGTTAACAAGGGTATCTGCTGAAAAAGTAACTACTAGAGTTAGAAAGTAAAAGCTATACTAAGAACCTCTAACCACTGTATCTTGAATGAAGATATACTTGTTTCTAAATTAAAGTGCTTTAAGTGCCTGTTAGTGATAGGCTCTTAAACACTTTTTAAGGACTCTCCTTCACCTCCCACTCCCATTAAAAATTTAGTCTTGTTAAATCCAAGTAAACCTGTATCACAAGTGCTGTCAGACTACCTCTTAGGAACAAACTGCAGTCAAAGGAGCAAATAAAGAAGCACACTTCGGGTGAAGGGATTCTTCGTCACACAACAATTTCATACTTTTTCCTTACTTCCCCATATCTATTTCTCACTTGATCTCCACTCTCAAACTTTTAATGAACATAAAGTTCATCATGTGCCCAAACAGCTTGCATAAATATTTCCTTTTTTCTAGTGAGCTATGAATATTGTCTACACATATTTCATATTAAGGAATCACATTCTATATGGAATGGGAAATAACGCTTTTCTTTATTAAGTAGGGCAAAATTACTTTGGTTTAAATTTTTTTGAACAAGGAATACAGATAAGATGATGCACATAAAATAGGAAGCCAGAATAACAGCTGTTCACCTGACAAATTAGTAACATTCTGCTGGCTATCAGTAATGTTGAATACTAGGAAGAGGAATGGCCTATTACATTTGAAAAATTATCACCAGGTGATGATATGTCATAAAAATCACACCTCCACTACAGTGTGCTGATTTAGCTACCAAAGTTGTGGCTTATCTAGGTAAAAAGCCTTTTATTTACACTTTTGCATTTAATACAGCAAATGAACGCAAGTTTCCAGTTAACTGTTTTGTTCTCATGTTACTGCTTATTCACACCAGCTACTGAAAGTAAACTATAAAAGGAACAGATGTATCATACACATCACAGGAGTAATTAACTCGAAGCACTACCGAGAAAGCAATCATCAGTTATTCTTATGTTTCATTGTTCTAGTAACAATAAAATCCTCAGTCTTGGAATACTGTTTAACTGCAATATGGAAATAGCAGACAAACACTACAACTTACTTAACTAGATAGATTACATAAGCACTGAGCAGCAGAACAAGAAAAATGCAGGAAAATTTTTCTAGAATAAATTATTATTTACACTCTATTAAGTCTCACAATCAATTCATGCAGCTTTTAGCTTTTTTGTGTACTATCTTTACTGATCGTATGTTTTAGTCTTGGGAAAAGAATTCCTAGACAAAAAATGTCTTGGCAAAGTATGATTCTTCTGTCCTTTAGCTCGAGAATTTTTTCAGCTGTATGTCAGACAAAAAAAAAAAAATAATATGGCAGAGAACCTTAAACTAATTCAGCCTGAATGCAACACTATTAATTTTCAGAAAAATATGTTATTGTGTTTCAAGTCTTTAGCCTCAAATGCTCCAGAAGACATTAATATAATAGCCATTTTACCAGTATACTTCCTTTCTGCATTTCTTGATTCTTGACAGTCGTCTTTTCTGCTTTGCTGTCATAAACAGGGAGGCAAAATTTAGATCTTCCCTGAAATAATTATTCAAATGTGTGTTATTTAAACAATGTTTTATCATAATTGAGCCTGAATTAAATTACAACATTTGAACTGACATTATTTACCTGAATCAACACTAGCCAAGTTTTTATCAAGGAATTTCCAGTGATAGCAGTGAGTGCAGACAAACAATGCTCTTTGTATACTCTGAATAATTCAGTTTCTTTCAAGGCAGCCTGTTGCTTCCATATGTGTGTCCTGCTTCCCATTCTGCAAGCTCTTGAACACAAAAGGAAAACTTCTCATATACCAGATGGAGCCTAGTGTCATCCACCCAGTAAAGCCTGAGTCTGTACCTCCAATAGCAAACACAAGACAAAAGGCTGGGTGGAGAAAGGCCATGAAAACCTTGAAAGCAAAGACAAGCAGTTCAAAGTTCAATTCCACTGAGAATGGTGAGCTAACAAAAGGATTTCTGGGAACTGGTAATAATATCTTAGTAATTGAGAAAGAACAACCTCCAGCACTTTAATAAGATGCTAATGGGATAATACTAGAAAATGTTTCCCCGGGGTCAACATGAACTGCTGGTTACTGGTACTGAGTGTAATAGCTAGGGAAAGCACTGTGGACATTCAGCTGGATCCAGAAGAGTAAGGGAACATGGCTCTGCAAGCTGAAGTCAAGAAACATACATCCATGTGGTGTTACGCTGCACTGAGGCTTTACTGGCATTAATTTAGCACATCTCTGCACTCTGTTTCTACATTTTAAGTGCCTGCTTTGCATATGAACTTTTTAATCCCAGTTTTTCATATCCAGACTATTGCAATGCAGTGATTCTCCACTTTCTAAGTGGCAGTTTATTTTGGGAATATACGCAGCAGTATTTTATTAAGAAAAACTTTGCTGGTGTAGCTTTATTTATGGACTGTAGTTACAAGGCATTCTTCAGACACAGGATCTCTATATAGTCTAGGCAATTACACTAATACAGACACAGTTACAACAGGAATTTCTTTTAGCATTATTTGCTGTTAGGAGAATTACCAGTTATGGTGGCCAAAGTTTTGAGCACAGATCAAAGGTGGCCTTAGGGACAGTGTCAAAGAACTCAGAAGACATGTATCTGAGATGGCACAAGGTGTCCTACACAGTGACTGAGAAAAGCAGCGAGATGGACATTTGGGAGTGGAGACATTAAGGCCCCGTTTTATCTTCGTGCTGACACTAGACCGAAGTTCACATCTCAGCCATAGGATGGCAGCAGAGTCCTGCAAGCATGTGCATCAGGCAGTTCAAATTTCCCTTTTCTATTATAAATCACAAGAGAAACTAGGAATTTCTACTATACTTTAATTTAGAAATCTCCAAGACAATACTATTAGAATGTCTTCCGAGTTCCCCAAATACGGTGCTAAAGCTTTGACATAGCTGTAACTGGGTCTTCCACACAGTATACTCTTAGTGAAGGCTGAAAACACATCTCTTGAAAAGTAAAATTTCAGTTCACAAACTTCTCATTTACTTGGACTGCCATAGAATTTGGTGTGACTCAGAAAAGTGCTAATCAGGTTAGCTCCTGTATTTTGAGACTAGAACTGCCTTTCCATCTCCCATTCCCAAAATCTCTCACACATAATAAAAAAGAGAGAATGCTTTTTCCCTTAAAAATTCTCAGATTTTATTTGGCTTTATATAACCTGGTGATCAAACCCAAGAGGTTTCAAACATTAAGTTTAAAATCTAGATAGTATGCACAAACCTTCTGGAAAGTAATATTTAATACTCAGAAAGGATATCAGCTATACAAATACATGTGAATGCTCACAGGCCAAACAGATTATACTGCTCCCTAAAGTGAATCTAAGGAAGCTGCTAGACAAAATTTGTAAGATTTAAACACTCCAGCACAGCTAGCCACCAGCCTTGAAGAAAAGCAGCCACCAGCAAGGATCAGTGTGAATCTACACTTCCACTGAAAAGGAATTAATGTTGCTAAGGTCTTCTCCACTGAAAGAATTTATTTTTGAGTAATTCAACATGAAAACAGAAAAAACTATCAAGAAATATTCTGAACTATTTTAGGAAAGAAAAGAAGCTGCAGGAAACAACACTGCAGCAACGACTGCTTGCCAGTGCCAGATTCTTTCCTGCCATAGATATGCTGGGAAAGAAGGTTAATTTATACAACATTTCTAAAGTCACAGGGTAGGAATGGCTGTACTGAGTGACAATTACATGTACCAGGATCACAGTCTGAGCCTTGTGAAAAACAAGGGCAAAGAAACCTACTGGAAGAAACCCACAGTATGGTATGGGAATGGAATCTGGTTTAGATACCACGGGAAAGCCAACAGCTCACTTCGTTACTGAATTTTGTCACTATTTTTAAAAATGTGCTTGTGTATGGAGTGGGCTTTTTTAAAAATCAAAGGATCATAATCTCATTACTGGAAAGGATTTAGAGCATTAATTCACCTGATACTTTGTTAGCACAGAAAAACTGGAAGAGCTGTTTTAAAGCCTAATAGAGTCTATTTGAATTAGAGTTGTAAGCCCAACTTCAAAGCAATTCTTATCCAACCCATTCTCAAAACACCAATCTGAAGAAATTTATCATTACCAAAGAAAGGTGCAAGAGCTACTGTAAAAAAAAAAAAAAAAAAAAGAAATAAAAGGACAAGAATGTATAGATGCACACAGACTTACACTTCTGTTCCATGTCTCTCATCTCTTCAGGAGGAATTTTCATCTTATCAATATGTTCTTGCAAGACACTGGCCCATTTCTGTAAAGACTCCATAACAGTCCAAGGTCTAGACATATCTGCAACAAAGACTACAACGGTGTCCTGCAGGGATTCTGCAGAAACTGCAAACTTCAATAGCCCTTTATGGTACAAGTCTCCATCCAGAATCCAAACGTTACAGCGAGTATGATCTGAAAGGAAAAGGTACGGTTGTATCTCAACAGATGCCAACTTGTTGCTTTGCAAGTCTACAGGTTAACAGGTGAGTACATTAGTATTAAAAGGAAGACCAAAGCCCAGCTACCCACAAATCTTGCCTGTTTATTTTTAAGACAGGTGCATGTGTAAGTGCCTACATTACTTGGTAAATGCTTTCATTTAACAGGATTTTTTTTCTTGGTGCAGAATCTTTTAGTTTAAAAAAAACCCCAAAACTGTTCTTTGGCTTTTACTAAGGAGAACTGACACAACAGTTTTTAGATACTGTACAACAGTCCTGAATTTGAAATATATATATTTCAAGTAAAACCAGAATACATGTGACACATATATAACTCCAAGAGGGGGTGGTTATCACCAAGTCCAGCAGGAAAGCCTTAAGTGTCCCTCAGACACATAAGCTGGTTTAATATATTAAAGACACCTCACAACAGAAATAAGCTGCAAACAAGATACAACCAATAAGCAGCTTAGGTTTCTAGCAGAGGAGTAGGAGAAGCAAACACAGGATAAACTTAAAACCTACCGAACTTTAAAGTTGTGCTACCTGCTCTTAACTTGCATTGACTTAACACTGGGTCCTACTTGCAGGCTCCTTACAAAATGAGTTCTGGAAAAATGATTTGGTATTTCAGCTTTTGTGTTCTTCCCCTCCCAGTGTTTTGATAGTGACTAGACCTTTTTTGCTGCAATGCAAGACAGGGGGTAGGGTAGGATAAATCAGCTGAGAGACAGCTGGCATGAAAAGTTTTACCCCAACCCTGAACTTTGGCAAGAATAGAAGAAACTGAAAACAAAGCAAACCTGTCACTGCAAAGCCCAGATTTTCAAAACAGGTACTGGACTTCATAATTACTCCGCCTCACTGTATTGCCCTGCCCTGTGCTCCAAATCTTTTAACTTCTCAAAATAAACCCAGTTGCTGTGGCTGTTACTTTACTCTAGGAAAGAATCCATCAGAATTACAAACACTGGCTCTAGAAAAGGCAAAAACTTGAATAAGGAAGCTGGAAGGAGGAAAGAGTGTGTGTATATATATATACACACTACCCTTCTACTCAGGTCTTGGATAAAATTACTGAACAGCCAAGTTACAGACAGATTACATCAAGATGCTATACGTGGGCAGTCTTCATTTAGCATTTGTTATGCTCCTACTTAAGTACCGTTAGGCTGTCATAAGACATTCAAACATCAGTCAACACACAAATAGGCCAACAGTTATGCTTTTAATTTAAAGATCTTCTCACTTCCAACTGTGCATTTCAGATCTATCCTTTGCAGTAAACAGTTACGATAATCGTTGTGTTTCTCAGAAATGGACCTTTGCATATTCATCAACTGCTTCCCCGCTCCCTCCACCCCACTTCAGGAAACCGTCTCACAGATATCACACAGGATTCTCACAACACTGGATTTATAAACCTAAAGCAATCGGAAGACTTCTAAGGACAGAGGGAAAAATCTGGTAAAAGTTTGGAAAAACAGAAAAGCGAGGACATAACGTGAACACTTCTACACATTTATTATTACACAATAGTAAATGAAACATCTGTGCAGGACTCTGTTATTGTCTGCATCCCAGAAGCATCCCTTCTGTATTTCCAAAAGCAGAAATTTACCAGTGAATAAAAACCCTCTAAGTTTTCTATGAGTTAAAGGTTATTAATAGACATTAACTACATCTATGAAAAAACATCTCCTTGAAGCAAATATGAAAGTCTATCTATAGTCTATGAAAGTTTACAACTGTCATCAGCACTCTCATAAATTCTTCTGTTGTGAGCACTCTGTTCACAGAAAATTTTCACACCTTAGCAAGTAACAAAAATTAATAAACATCCTAATTCACTGCTTCTAAGCAACTTTTTAAAGCCAGTCTCTAAAGGTTACAAAGGTTTTGTTTGCTAGACACCTTTGTACTACTTCAGGACTTCATTTCTGCTTAACATCTAGAATACAGACTGGAACTAGAATAGAGGTGGAACTATCACTCAAATGAAATCCATCTGCTAGGAAGACTGGAAGCCTAGCACTTACACTAAAGTGTACTTCAAAAAAAGGTAACATGGTATGAAAACGAAAGGTTTTGCTCCTTTCTTACAGTAGAGAGGTATAGCTTGTGATTCACATTTGCTACAATGTAAAACACACTTAAAAACACAGTACTGGTTGTTCACAACTTGGCAAGGACTTGCTGGCAAATTCAACTTTGTCAGCACCACATCAAGCTCCTAGTTAGTCATATGATGTGAACGTTAACTGGGTGGGCCTCTCATAGTGGCTATGACATGAGATACCAAAACAGAACAAACAATTACCAGATCTTGTTGGAAAAGCAGGTTCTACTTACTAAAGACTACTACAAAAGCTGCTAAAACTACATCTCTAAATCTTATCAGTATTTCATTATCCCTTTAGCCTTGAAAAAGATCTTCCAGCTTTGATGTATTTTACTGCAGATGGTTGATTCTGTGAACTGCAACTACATGTCCTGCATTTATTCAAAAGGTATCAGTGGTACTTAGATATCCCTCATACAAGCTGTGAAGAGAAGCAAAACAGGGAAAAATCATTTTCAATAGAACTACTTTAAAGATGTTGACAAAAAGACAATTTTCCCATTAGAAACCATTGTACCAGCAGCACTTGGCTCAACCTGGAACCACCAGTTCAACTGGAATATGTGCATATGATATGACTGAGGCCAGTCCAAACTTGAGGCAAAAAAACAAGACTACTCAATTTTGTTACACGTAAGAATGCAAAAATAGAATGGTTCTACTTCACTGGGACACTTGGCACAGTCATGACAACTGTATGGCATGTGCAACCTGAGGCAATTCAACTGAAAGTGTTCCGTGGTATCTGTAAGTGCTAGCTAGCCCACATAGTGCTGCTACAAATTCAGTCAATGTAGTTTGTCTCACTGTCTTGCTGTACAACCTCACTTTAACTCTGCCCCATCACTGCCAGAGACTCTGAAAGCTACTCTAGAAACACATACCTGTCAAGAAAATTATGCAGGGCCTCTCTTGTACCTCCTACGAACTAAGATTCTCAGCTCTCAAAAGCAGACTAACCAGCATAGACATAAAACATCTGTACATCACAAAGAAAGGCAAAAAAATTAAAACTGGCCACACTCCCTGAAAAATTACACTAACAGAAGATGCCAGGGCCTGAGCTCCATGGTTGCTTAATACTCTGAGTTAACTTTGCAGCTAGTGCTGTAAGTGCTTTGATCCAGATGAACTGTAGTGTCATATATGCAGAAGAAGCCGTATGCTCCAAGGATATTGTACCTGGGGCTAATGATTTAGAAGAATCCTCCTTCTCTTTCAGGATTGCTTCTCAGGCATCCCAAAACCTCTTCTTGAACAAATGCCTTAGCCTGGGAAGAATTTGGGATAATACCCTAGGTAGGAGATTTTTCAGGTAGAGATTCAGTAGTGGACCTATTCTAAGTTTTCCTGAGACCTAGAGACCAAAGTAGCGCGTGCTGCATGGAATGACTAACATCTAACAGAACTGAACCAGCTAATTACAGGGCAGTAGCGATGCGTAATCTTGCCATCCAGGCTAGGTATCAGTCACTGCCAAGAAACAAGCAGAGGATAGAGAAAACCAAACAGTGGGCACCTGTATTAGCCACGGGGGTCCTTCATAATAAGAGGTGCTTTCTATGCATTTGTTTAACTTGCCTGAAAAAAAAAACCAAACAATTTAATCACTGATCTAATCTTTAGGGGAAAAGATAAAAGTAACTGTAAACCAAGATATGCATCTAGTGATCTGCAGTAATTCTACTTCAAATGTAAGAGGACCCAGATTCACATATCCCTTAGGGAGGAAGGGGCAGGGGGACGGGATAAGAAGCAACACAGAAGATTTTCCTTAAGATTTCCAAAGGGTGGGAGGAGATAGATAATGACTCAGCACTGTGACGAAAATATTTATCCTGGACAGAATAAACTCTTCTGAAATGAATTAAGAAAAGGCAAAGAGAGCAAAGAAGTCTTCTAGCACCTGGGAAAGAAGTAGAAAAAAATCTTTGCACTCTATTACACATCTTCAGTTATCAAGTGTTGATTTGACACCCCTGGAAATCCTTGTGGTTTACTGGTCTCTAACAGGCTGGGGTATAATAAAAAGCAGATAAACTCAAAAATGAGTATGAGATAGTAAGCTCCTGAATGCCTATCTTGAGTTTCTTTATGGCTTCCAAGAATTGTGGGTCGAATATAAAGACACTGTTCCTAAACCTGTATCTGAGTATACACAAATCTAAAGCATGCAAAGAGTTTAAAGAAAGAAACCCAAACCTGTCCTAGAGAAGGAAGAGAGTTATCTTTGCCTGCTGGGAGGTCCTGACCCACTTTGCTATTTATTTTGCTTGCTGAGGACATTAATGAGACAGAAAGGGAAAAGGTATGTATTATTAGATCCTAACCATCCATTAAAGGGATGCATGAGGACCTGAATTCTCCAGCTGAGTCTGGTAGTCAAAAAGGTCTCTTTTTTTCCTGCTAGTGCTGCCTGAGTTCTTATGACAGGCTTCTCCTAATCACCTCAAATACTTATCACTTCCTGATACTTAGAAATGGCCCCAAAATATTTTCAAAGTAGGGACATACTTGAAGTTTGATAGACAGCACCAGGAAAAACAGCATACCAAACACTTCTCTGCTTATAATACCATCTCCTTTGATGTTGCAAGAAGCCTGATGTCACAGGCTCACTTAACACTCCTAATCATAGGGGTTTTTTTCCCCTGAAGTATTTATGCAGTACTAAAGAAGATCGTACATAGTGAGAAAGCACTTACATCAAGAACCTCAAGTCGTCAAGAATGGCTCAGCACTTAAAATTACAGCACAACACATTTTTCAGAACTGCACGATTAGGTGGCCACTGAAGACACAGGCAATGTACTCATCCTTTCATTGTGCCTAACTTAGTATCCAAAGACAGTTTACTACCATGTGAGCACAGGACCAATCCCCATAACAACCAGTCACATATGGTACTTAATCACTCGTGCAAGCCTTCAGTACATTTCCATTTCCAAAATACCATTATAGGCTCTTCCTAGTTCATTTGTTTTCAGGAACATGGATGAACCACCACCATTGCTTCCCTCTTCTGAATTGAAAACTCAGAAGGAAGTCACGAATAGGAAGGCTGTTATTCCCCATTTTTGAGGACAGAAATTAACACAGAGAAGTCCAGCAGTCTGCTCAAAATGAGACAAGCAGAGGCAGATTTAGGAGCAAGGATAACAAACTCACTCCCCATCTCTTTCTGTCCCTAACGTTCCTAAAAATAGTATTCTTATTAGACTTGCTTTTAAACAGTCCCTTGTCCTAATCCCCCTCCCATATAGTAGAGAAATGCAATTATCAACAACAACAAGGGACAAAGAGACAAGCTCCAATTTGAAGAAAGGAAATCTTAATTCTGACTTTAAGTTCTGTTCTTCACTCATTCAACTCTAACAAAACATCTCAGTTATAGTTAAACAAAATTTCACATACAGCCCCCACAAGAAAACACCAAAACCCCATGCCCAAAAATCCACACTGAGAATTAAATTCTCATGGATGTATCGTTTACTTTCCACAGTTATCAAGTAGTCATACCAAATGACAATATATCTGCTATTAAGTCAATGTCAGTAAATGTATCTACCCTAAAAGTAAATGGATCCTGAGAGCTGCTCAAGTGTACTTTTTCCTCACACACAGGCCAAGCTGTAAGGGCAAGAGGGAGAATGTACACTGAATGTAAAATGCATTTCACTTTTAAGAAATTGATATAGCTTTTAAAGCACACAGAACAATGCTGGAACCAGCTACTCGGGTGTAACCCAAAACACACTGACGAAACCACAGTTATTAAAAAAGCATGTCAACTACTTAATTACAGTAAAGAGGTCACATATAAAATGAACTTACCATCTCTGTCTTCATCATGAATATTCAGATACAAGTATTCCAACCCTCTTCCTTTCTTGCCATGCTCTGCTCCCTGTATTTTAGCCATAAGTGTAGTTTTACCTGAACCATCATCACCTGCCAGTAGTTTTTACATGAAAAAAAGACACTTTCAGAATTAAACTTCGTAGAAAAAAATTTTCAAAACACGTTTAAGTAATCAGAAATACCTTTGTACATTTTTGGATCATATATAATTGCAGTTTTCTTTCATATATCCCAGCTAAATCCAACAGCTTATACCATATGAATAAGAATAAAGCACTTATTTGTTCTCTATTATATTCCATTTGTTTAAACATGTCATAAATCTAACAGCAAAAACCAGAAGGAAATAAATCTATCAGCTTAAAGACAATAATACCATAGATCATATTACATAACACAATTTTAACAAACTGATGTGTCAGTTTGTTCACATCATTGTTTTAAACAAGCTGTATTTCTCCAAAAGAACCCCAAGCACCCAACTGCCTGCATGTGTTACTTACCAAAAACTAGAATATTCTTGCCTGACGGCAATTTAGATCTTGACCGGGTAGAAACTTCACTCAGTATTGAAGACCTAGAAAAACAGCATCATTCTCATTAGACTGCCACACACACGGCCGCGCGCAGATGCACGCACACACACAAACACAACCCACGCATTGCCCATTTGACAGCACTGATGAGCTCAGCAGATCTGCATGGACCAATCCAGTGACATTCATTCTATTTACAAACTAGGTATGATGTTACAGTTAAAGACTTTGGTTCATTTTAAGAGACCAGAAGGATGTCACCTTTTTGAGAAAAGCTTTTACAGTTTTTACAACACACGCAGTGGCATTTTAAGTTTTTCTCCCTTGTAAGAGGTCACATTACTGCCAAGCTTTACTTTTCAACTGATGACTAACTCTTCCCCCAATCCATTGCTGTATTTTATACACGATTTTTTCTGCCATTATAAAAGTGTTACTCAGAGACTAGCGGCGCCTTCCCCGCACACCATCTTCCTCATCGTGGCAGCGACGCGGGCCTCATTCACGCGGGTGCGGGGCCCCACACACGCTCCCCACGAGCCCTCTCAGGGCCGGGGAAGGCCGGCATTCCTCACCGGCCGCGGCGCCGCGCCCGCCGGGAGGGCCGGCCCCGGCCCCGGCCCCGGCCGCGGGCAGCCGCCACCCGCCGCCCCCTCAGCGGGGCCCGAGCGCGGCCCCGCAGCCGGCGCCCATCGCCGCCGCCGGCCCAGCCAAGCGAGGCCGCGCACTCCGCTCCCGTCCGGCCGAAGCAGCGGCTCCCGCCCGCGGCGAGAGAGCTGAGGCGGCTGGGCAGAGCAGGGAGACGCCGCCGTGAGAGAGGCGGGACGCCCCAGCGCAACCGCTGCCTCCGCCGCCGGGCGCCCCCCGCCGCGCCCCACCCAGCGCCGCCCCTCACCAGAGGTTCTGCCCTTCCTCTTCTTCGCTGGGCAGCTCGGCGCCGCCGGGCCCGTCCGGCCCCAGCAGCTTCTTCTCCACCAGCACCGGCGCCATCTTGCCAACTGCAGCCACAAAGAGTGACCTCACCCGGGCCCGCCGAGGACCCCGCTCCTCCCTCGCCGCGGCCGCCCCGCGCCGCCGGGCCCGCCGCGCCTCGCTGCCGCCCCGCCGCCCCCGCGGGCCCGCCGCCGCCCCCAGCCGCGGCCTCGCCGCTTTCCGCTCAGGCGTCGCCCGGGCAGCCCCGGCAGCGCTCCCCGCCCTGGGCGGTGCCTCCCGCGGCGGGTGGGGCCGCCGCCGGCAGCGCCCCCTGGTGCCGGCCCCGGGCAGCGGCCAAGCCCTCTGCGCGGGTGAAAGCGCCTGTCTGGTACTGCCTACACCAGCGAGCCTGCCTTACCCCCCCAAACTTGTACACTGCAAAATAGTTTGGGTTCTTCTCACAAAACTACAGAGCAAGTGCAAGTTTTTTTGTAAACGGGCTTTCACTTCTGCTTTTCAAAGTGCTAAAACATTGTGCTGGGTAGCTTAAGCCGCCTAGAAATGACAAGTATTCTTGCACAGTTACATTTTTAAGGTGCTGGTTATGGGTGGATTTCAAAGCAGTTTAGGCAAGAAAATTAGTACGATTATCAAGATAGTACAATAAAAGGAGAGAAAGACATTAACTGATTTGCACAAATTCACGCAACAGGTTTCCACTTGCTTCTAGTCCATGACTCTTCCTTTCTGGATTACAAAAGAACATTTCCTGTCCTCAGCAACGTGCATTGCAAGAGGAGTTGAAGCACCAGAAGAGGCCGCAGGAATTTCATCCTTAAAGATTTTCAGAACTTGACATGGCACAAAGCAACTTGACTAATTTGGAGATGAGCCGTGCTCGGAGAAGCAGGTTAATTATGGACTCCAGCGGTCCTTTCCAACCTACATTATACCTCAGATTAAATCAATTGTCAGTATTGTGATATTCCGACTTTGTGTCAAGTAAAGATTTATGCCTTGCATATTTTATCCACTTGAAAGCATTTAGGCCAGAATAGTAGAGATTACTAATGCATGTGCAGTCAATTGATAAAATTGCAGCTTATCTAGACTAGCTTGTAAGGCCTTGGAAAAATACTTCATAGAGTGTGGAACAGGCCAAAATCTGCCTGTTGCGTGTAGCGTAGTGCTCCCCAGGAGTCTTTTGGGCTCATATTCTGAAAATACATATGCCCACCTTTTACTGCACTGCTTTGAATACCTCCATTCAAAGACGTCTTTTATGGATGCTTAAATATTTTAGTAATATAAAACATGACGTGCACCAGCTGAAAATATTAAAGACCTATTTATTTTATCATTGGTATCATCTTTACTGCAAGTCTTTCATTTTTCAGTTACCTTGGTTTTAAGCATTGAAGCTACATCATAGTGAAAACCTAGTGCTAATAATATAATTAAACTTTTTCCATAATAACTATCAATCATTATCAGAATAGATTAAAAAATAGGAATTAAATACTAAGGCTATCACTGAAAAATCAAGTTACTAAGGCTTTCACTAAAGCTTTTTATAAAAACTGTGTAATTAGCAGAAATGGTTCTGCTCACTTCCTTGAATAATACACAAAAAAATGTCCAACTGTAACAAGAAGCCAAATTTTACCAGTCCTGCATTCTATTTAGTTCAACACTGAAGTATATATTTTATGTAAGTCCAGGAATGTTATTCCCAGTCATTAAGATCAGTCAAGAAATATTGCAACTGAACCACACACTAACTCATCCACCCAGAATTCTGACATTTCCACAAGCTTTCTACTTCCATTTACACACTGTACCAACATAAGATTTGCTTACTCTACCCAGCAGTGTTTATCCATACATTTGGTGCTTTCTGTCATATTTTCTGCACATACAGCACATTAAACACATGACAAAATATCTTACCTGCTTTAAACATTTCACTGATTAAGAGGAAAGAAATTCAGACACAACATTAACACTGGTTTCTGACATAAAAGATTCATTTCAGCAATATAGCCTTTTCTTACAAATGGTATAAAGCAAACTATAAAAAGATGCAAACAAAAATCCAAGTCAAATGTTACATAAATCAAATGTTCAAGACTGTTAAACTAAGCTAAAAAAAAGCAAACCATAAATTTCACTAATAAAGATCATTAGCTATGCTAGCATTATATTTAAACATATCAAATTGTATGTAATTTTAATTCACACAGCATAACAACACTGTCACTGAATGTTATCACTGAAAAACATGAGTCCAAGCCAATCTAAATTCTCCAAGGGCTCATGCTGTGACAATACCTCACTGTTAAAAATGCTGTTATTCAACATTCTGCAACCCAAAATAGTCTTGCAAGATGTTATTGATGATCTTTGGCTTTTTGTCTCTGTAAAATGGAGATAAAAGAAAAAATATCAAGACAAATGTTGACACAAAACACTGCACAATTTTAGAAAACATTTCAGTAGAAAAATGTCACTAAAGACTCCCACACATACCCAGAGCACAGCAAAGCCATCTATTCCATCCATAGATAGCATCTCTGGGTAAGGAGTGTACATATTAAACATGGTGAAAACCACCAGATTTACACAAACCATCCTCAGAGAAGAGACTGAACAGGGAAAATACCAACTTCCTGATTAACACAGGGATTTATTTAGAGTCCTTAACTGAAATTCTCACCCTCTTTGTATCCTATCAGGTGGCACTGGAGGGTTCAAAGGCTCTCTAATATTTTCCCAGTTTAGTTCTCTCTCTCCAAGCACAATCCCAGACTGAATTACATCTGAGACCATCCCAATGCTTAGTGTGCAAAGCACTGAACTGACACAAAGCACAGCCCCATCAGTTGCAAATTCTGACAGCCTTTTTTTTTTTTTCTGCAAGTCAGTTCAGTGGCAAAAGCTGAAAACTAAACTGACAGTATGTACTATTAGTAGAAAATTGAATTATTACTTGCAACTGTAACCTGTAGTATTTCTTGGAAAGATCAACACTTGTCCTTCCTTTCTGAAATGGATAAGACCACAAAATTGAATTCCAGTGATTGCCCATTTTTTTAACTCCATTCAAAAGACAGTTAATTTCTTCAGTGGTAAAATCTTTTCGGGTTCTTCCTCTCTTGTTTAAAGTGTTTGTGTTCATGTCCAGGGAACATATTTCATCATTCTGCAATTATTTATTTTGGTGTAAATAAAAATTATGTAAATTTACATACAATTTTGCATTTGGAAGCAACGATTACTGACAATACAATCAAGTAGTTCTAAAGAAATGATCACTTTTGTCAAGATAACGGTTCTTCAAGGTTTCTTCACTGTCACTCAGTTACTGAAATACAGTATTTTTTCCATGACCTCTACCTTCATTTCTATGGTGCCCACATAGTTTATACCTTTAGTATGTTTATTCCTTTAGGTTTCTGTTATTTCTCTACTACACAAATGTTTATCAGTGCAGGAGAAAGCATACCTCCATATTCACTATTCAGAAAGGACTCTCAGTTGAAAAATGCGTAACTCATTTCAGGGATGCATCAGTATGACAGGAGTAGAATCAACAGAGGAATATCTTTTTAATAAGATTCCCCTACTGGGCTCCTGTTAAAGGTGACTTAAAAAGAAATTACACAATTCATAGTGATTTTATTTGGACATTTACAAATATGTGAGTGTTTTATCAGGCTTTGCATAACTAACCTCATCTTTGTCAAGTGAATATATGCAATTTTCTTTTAAGCGCTGACATTCCTGGTTGCACATTCCTTTGACTCTTTGTCTCTTCAAGTTAGCATCTTGGGGTTTTTTGAAAGCTACAGAATTGTGAACAAGGCCACCTCTTAGTTACTTTAAACTAACTGGAATCTACTGTAAAACTGAATATAGTGTTGTCAAGGAACACCTCTTTTAATTAATTTGAGTATATAAATGTTGCTTTATTACCAGTATCTCGTTTTCATTAGATTTTTTTTCACATCATTGAAATTAACATGAGGATTATTTATTCACTGGAAGCAACTGGAAAATAATAGGAATTAGCTATCAATAATGCAACGATTGAAGATACAAGAACATATCTATTTAAATTCTGAGCCATTTGTCTCCAACAGCAAACACAGGTGCTTTTCTCAAAGCCCTGACCTAACTGCAAAACCTGATCTTTAAGTAACACTTATTACAGAATTAATTTTCTGGTATTACTCACACTTTTTATACAAAGGTACCAAGTTATGGTCATCAGTCAGTCTAGTATTTCTACTATGTTCACCTCTATTTGAAGTATTAGATTTGTTTTTTCTGATTGGAGTCAAAACAATACCTTAAAAAAAAAAAAAACAAAACAATAAAACATTATGCATCTTTTTTTAAAAAAAAAAAAAAACTACAAAACACAGGTAATGTTTTAGGAATTAAAATTTAAGAGAGAACCATCTTTTGAGCCAAACTACTATCTGGTCTTGGAAGAAAGACCAGAAAATTCAGTTTACTTCAGAAAATGTTTACTTGCTAAAGGTAACATATTCATGTAATAGCCTTCTGAATGAAAAATATATATATTTTTTTTAATTATTTATTTTAAAGACTTCCGTGGCTACCATAGACAAATTGATTAATTTCTGAATCTGGAGGGGGTGGGGGGAGCAGGGGGAAATAAATTTAAAAGTCAATCTAATAGCTTTTACCAGAAATAAATAAACTAACAATGTAAAGAAGGTCTATGGAAATAGGAGACTAAAAATAAATTCCTGATAGGTGGGCTGATTTGTCAAAATAAAAGTTTTTTTTAAAGAAATATTCATGTTTTGGAATTTATCTACTGATTTAGAGACCTGCTTCAGGTTACTTTAAATTTTCTGGTCATCAGTCATAAGAAACAGTATTGGTTACTAGCTCACGAATGAAGTAATGTATGACTGTAGTTGGAGCTCTGCAGGATGTACCCACAAGCACTACATGCTGAAGAAAATTCCTTGTGAATTATGTAAAAATATATATCTTGCAGGATAAGGAAAAAACCTACAACCATTAGCTTTTTTTGCTATATTACAGAATTAAATACTGTAACAGCTATGTACTCTGCTATTTACAAATGAACAGTTATGTATTATAAAGAATAATAGTTCTTATGGGCAAGCGATGGTTCTGTGAACAAAGGGTTTCTAAAGATGGAACACACATTTGCTTTTTCATTCCTACCGTGTTAAAAATATCTTATTCCACAGCTCGTGATGCAGGACAGGTAAACAGATCTCCTGTACTTAATTTTCTGCGAGGTTGTTTTCAGTTACTTGCTCTAGTATTGTTGTACACATTAAGGTTTACCCTTTTAGCTATTTAGTACACAGATACCCAAGTCCTTAGCAGAGCTCCAAGCAGGAACAGAAACAGGTATAACAAGGCAACATGGCTGTAACTGTACAGTAAAGTGTTGCTGAATCTAGGAAGAGGCAACTGTACTGTGTTCAGATCCTGACTACACATCTACATTTTAAAAATTAAGGCCACAAAAATTAAAAATAGCAGATGGCATGGAAGTAACCCGACAGGATTCAAAGCAGTATCTACAAAGCAACCAGGTAACTTTATTGTGACCTAATGTGCATAACAATTTCGTGACTATAGAATATGCATTTTCTGGCCTATTAACATACAGATTTTTCACAGAATCCACAGAAAAAAAACCCATAACTCCCTATCCACAGGCTCCCATGGTAAAGTCCTGCAAAAGAATTACTTAGACAGTAAAGGCTTTTTGCATTAATTTCCAAACAAGCCCTTACTTTGGAAACTATCCTTTTTGCTCCCAAGAGTTGGTATTTCTGTATGCGGTCTTTCTTTCTTCACTGGGGTCAGCAGAATTTCTGGAAAACACAAGATGGACACCAGTACAAATGCCAGTAAGTAATAACCATTTAATTTTCAAAACACTTCCTTTAAACTAGAAAAATATAGGATGCACTTTTATTTAATTCATTAAGAATTAAAAGCTTCTTACGTCCCTAAGTATGTAATATTAGAATGAAATGACCTTGTTATAATGTCATACATCCAGTCACAGTTATTTCAACTTAATATACTCCCTTCTATTAGTACTTGACTAACTGGCAAACAGGACTGAGTCTTGTCAAAGACTATAATAAGGATATATCACTACTGCGAAGATATACATAAGATCATCAAAACAGAAGTGGGTAGTTTGGATCCCACTCAGTACAAATAGCTGGTAAATCAAATTAAATGAGTGAGTTTACAAGAGCAGGACAATCAGTATCAGACCAAAAAAAGTTCAGCATTTCAGATACTATTTAAAACAATAGTTACAGCTACTAAAAATTAAAAAATCATAATTACTGTCATAAGTTGCATATCTACTATTGTTACAAACAGCCAGTTTGCGAAGTTCCTTTTTATATCTTTCTTCAGCCTCAAGAATGACTGTGTGACGGTCACACTGGTACAGACCACTTTGCAACATCTTGGTAAAGGTTCTACTATTGAAAGACAGTCCTCCTGCTGTACAACCTGGGAAAAAAATAGGATATTGTAAAAACAGCAAGCATGAATGCCATAGAAGCCATCACGAAGTCTAGTGTATTTGGGTCACTATGATCTATAATTTGACCTCCAGTTTTCCATATACACGTGTCAAAAGAGGTTACACTTTTATGTACCTTCTTGAGAATATTTCTTTTGTACTTGATCTCTTAAAAAAAAAAACAAAAACAAAAAACATGTTTTCAACATGACCTTACCTTTAGGACCAAGTTATACTGTACTTCAACTTCAGAATTACTAAATGAGCCACAGATCCTCTACCGAGGTAAAAATATTAGTGGAATGGGAAGGGGCCTCAGTTCCCTTAGCACATTTATCTAAGAGCCAAAATATAAAAAATGGCTTTGCTATACTTTGAAACTTTCTCTGTGTTATAACAGTTATCTGTATTAACCTGCATAAATTATAAGACTAATTTAGGTATGAATTTCCTCACAGGAAGCCTTTCTGTTAATTTTTAAGGACATGCCTAAGGTAATCTATGGTTTAGTTATTCTTGGATGTTCTCACAGTTATGTCAGCTGAAGAACTTCTGCACTGTGAGGAATTATAATAAGGGCCCTGGTACATATCTGTAATATTCTAGCTTAAGATAAAGCTCAGGTTGAATTTAGTTTGACAACTTGGATTCATGTGACTAAATGATGTTCAAAGGTGGAGTTGTTTTTTTTTTCTTGGCTCTTGGGGGAGGGTTTTTGTTTTTTAATAAAGAGTCACAGGCTTGATTACAAAATCCACTTACAAATCCTGAATACCAGCAGCATTCTTATAACCTACTGATAAACCATGTTCAGGAAGCAAAAGATGGGTAACTGAGGGCTGCAATCATGGATTGCTATAAAACTGATTGTCTGTATGTTACAGCAGTAAGGCAGAGAAAAGAAAGGGGCTCCTGAATAGTTAGGAGACTTAGCAGGGGAATACGTGAGGGAACTAAGCAGGGCTACATGTTTTTCCTCCCTCTTTCCAATCACAGAAAAATGGAAAAACCTGCTCTTAAGTATTCTTTTAAGTAGTAGTTCATCATTTAAGGTGTTCTATATTCTGTTTGTTAGTAAACCCACAGTAAGAAAAGATACACAGACCAAAACTGGAATATGTACGCTTTACTTCAATATTTATGTTTTATTTTAGGGGCAGAAAAAAAGAGAGGAAGCAGTTAAGAATTACATAATAGGTAATCCAATAGATGTGTTAAAATTTCTGTAATGTCAGTTCACTTACTGCACTGCTGACTCTTTAAAGCTTCTTTTATGGACTCAGGAAAGAAAGACCTAAGATAGTATTTACCTAAACACCTTAAATCTGTCATTTTATAGCATGCAGAAGTAGCTGAAGTACTTTTTTCTTCCTTGGTTATCTCCGAGTAGAATGAATGTTGATCTAAATTAGGAAGGAAAAAACCCACTAAAAAAATGCAACCTATCTTTTCCTGTGGTAATCATGCATCAGCGTACCTATATTCAACTGTATTTTCTATTTATAGATTATTAAAGTTTTATTTACGTAACCACAGAAAATCCAAATTAAATCCCTCCAGTTAAATGCACTGCATTTACATTTTTGTAAATCCAGAATAATTACACTTAATTCAGTGCTTTTTCATCACTCTCTCAAAGCATATTACTTCAACTAGAACACAGCAGAATAACCCTGTAAACTTACCTTGCTTAACTAAGCCCTATAAACTTTATTTCTATTTGAAATCAGATGCTGAAAGATGTCATGTACTGAAATAATACTTATTCCCCATTTAAATAGGTATAACCTGGAGATCTGATTGGTCACCTGTAAACCTACCATTCTGGCAAATACTAATCTAGTGAATAATTATAAATTAACAGGAAAATAAATTACGAATAAAGATTTGATTGAACAGATCCTAATTCTGAAATAAATTTATCAGACTAAGATCAATGCAAATCTGAAATACATTTATCTTAAAGACATGTTCAATACATAGGAATTCCTTTAGGCAAAGGTCACTCTCACAGGTAGGTTCTATCCCCGATCTTACAAGTGCAGAAAAAAAACAGTATCCTTATGCATTTTCTATTAGTGGCTTTCATTGTACAGTACAGATTGCATTGAGACTAAACTTAAAACATTTATCTGTGAGATGTTCATTTGAATAGTTAAAATCAATTAAAAAAAGAAAGCTAAAATATGAATTAGAAGAAAAGTAGAATCAATATTCTCCTGGTAAAATTGCACACAATATAAAATTCCAAAGCTATGCAAACAGATAAAGGATATTATATATGATGTACTCTGTCATCTAATGATACATAATATCTGATAAAAAGTAGTGATAAAAGTACAGGAAACAAAATCTCATTAAAAACAAAATTCTCTAAGAAAGGAGTATGCTTAGCTATCTGTACCTGATGTGCATGTCTGTTTCTTATTTCTATCAGTCTTTGCTGGTTGTTTAAATAAGTGTTCACTGGGAAGATCAAAAGTGATTAAAACAAACAAACAAAAAATCAGACTTCACAACATACATTTACCTGTAAATTAATACACACACAAAGGCAAAACAAAAGCCACATGAAATATGTAAAAGATAAAACTCTAAAAAAATATATTCTAATGCCCCCAAGTTACTGGGCTTGTAGCATGTAACCATTGTGTGTTAGAAATCTGTTTACCAGAGACCTGTGATTAGCATTCCTTGCAGTGCTATTCAGCACATCTGTTCCAGCATTTGGGATGCAGTGCTTCCAAGGGATGTTGGCTTCCAGGCATTTGCAATTCTGATTCACGTAAAGATTACTTAGTGCACACAAAACTTCACAAAGTCTTCAAAATACTGTAGCCATCACTAGATGTAGCAATTGCTCTAAAAGGTAAACGATTTTCTTCTTTCCTTACACCGATTAGCTTCTATGCAATCAACATGCTCCTATGATATGGTGACCATGCATTTTTCTATGTCACTGACTGCCTCTGAATGCTGCTGGAGCAAGGAGCCTAATGAATGGTTATGCTTGAGTAACTCTCCTCCTATGCCCACTCCCCCCTCTAAAATTTCATTTTTAATAGTTTTGTGCTTCAGAGGTCAGAACAACAAATAAAGATGTGTAAAATTATGCTAATCAGTAGCAAAGCAAAATTTACCAGAACATACCATAGAAAATATCCTAGGCTCCTAGTAATTCCTCCTGTAGTTGCAAAGTTACAATATAATGCATGCAAGGACACTGCATAGGAGCAGGGTCTGGTCAGCCACAGTATAAAAAGCACAGAAAAAATGTGGAACTCAAAAAAAAGAGAAACATATTTTTCTTCATACTCTCTTTGCCTGTGGGATATTCCAGATATAAATTCAAGATAATAGAGTCTGTATTTATCCTTTCAAGTTGCCTATAATTATTTTTTTCTTTATCAATAGGAAATATACCCATAAGCAGCAAAAAAGGAAAATAAGCATTTGTGTGAGAGAAACAAGCAAGAGAACAGAGAATGACTACACAAAGCTGTATCCTTCTCTTTTCATCCAGGGAAACAATTAAGTATGAGCAAAGAAAAGTGGGGGGGGTAGGGGGGGTTTGTAGTTTGTAGGCATTCCAATTTAAATTTTTTGCAGAGCAGTTCTAAAACTGATGTTTTCCTAGTAAGTGCACAAAACAGAAGACTTTGTGGTTTCATCCAAACCAATGGGTCAAATCTTAATCTACTGAATCCATAAGCACTTTGAAGCAAAAACTATAGATGCTTTTCAATCACTATGTTAAAGGTTTCAGAACATGGCCTGTAACAGACTCTCCATACAATCCATCAGAAGCCTACTATTCAGAGAAAAAGATCAGAAGCTTTTTTCACTACAATGTCTATATTCATTGATCTGTGCAAAAACACTTCCACAGAATATTCTCTAGTGAGCCACCAAAAGGCTGTTTTTCACTAGGAGAAAGAGACCTAGTTAGTAACAGATAATTTAAAAGGCCAACATCCATTTTGTAAATTACTAAAGAAAAATAACTTAGTATTTCTGCTTAGGTGTAAGATACATACCTTACTTGAAGAATAGACTGATTCTTTACACAAGCAGTTTTTTCATTTATACTGTGACTTGGAAGTACACTGTCTGTTTGCAGTTGATTAACTGAACATGGAATATGATTCTGTTCACTTTGTGTAGTAGAAGCATTTACTGGATCCGTAGAGTGGACTATTTCATTTTTCAGTGGAGAAGAATTTACAAATGGAGCGAGAACCTGATCATCAGATTTAGAGGTCAGCTGTGAACAATGTACCATATGTGTTCTCTCTATACGAGTTTTTCGATCAGCAGGATTCATTTCATGGTATTTTGATGCTTCAGTTTCGGCTTCTGAAGATCTCTCTACAAATCCGCCTCCTTGTACTCTTTCCTGTATTGAAAAGTACTAGTTAGCAACTATACAAGCTCCATAAAAATGTTACATAAATCTAGTAACAAGATTAACTAGGATAGACCAGTCTAACTCTGAAGGTAAAGCACATTCCAGAAAAGCTTCACAAACTGCTGACTGAGCTGAGAGCCAACAAGATGGCAGTGCTGCTGAAGGTGTTGAAAGGGTAGTTATTAAGTGATAATTCCAGGCTAAAGCAGTGGATTTGCTACTAATACAAGGCATTTACAGAAATTAAAATATTTAATTAAGATCCAGCTAAGTAACTCAAAAACTTGCTGTTCAACACCTAGGGATGCCAAGTAGTTATACTGCACAAGGAAAATATGAAACAATTTTACTTCAGTTTACGTTCACGTTTTGCATTATCATCTATCCTGTCATATATGTACAATCACTGGCATTTCATGCATGCAAACATTAAAATTCAAATGATTGACAATTAAAAATAAATCCAACCCTTGTTTCTCCAACCTAAATAATCTCAATTTTGCAGAAAATATGGTTTTATAATAAACTAAAATGCTTCATGAAAATAGATGCCCACATTCTCTAGACTGCCCTGCATACTTCTGATGTTGTGTGATACACAGTAATGATAGAAGTTGCACATTGTAGCTTCACATACATCCAATGTTTTCCCTACTTTTCTAGCTCACACTGAAATTATCTTAAGGGTTTACTTTCTATTTCTCCCTGAACTCTGCAAAGATTTGCTTAGTTTTATCCTACTGTGGTAAATAGGCCAACCTCATAATGTTGTTTTTCAATTAAGTTTATTTTCTGTAAAATTTCTTTTGCTTTCTTCCAGTAGTCTTGTAGATTTCTTTTTCTGACTTGCACATCCAACTCTTCCGCATTCTTCATGTCTACTGAATTATTGTTTATTTTTAGGGACAATTTTTCAGCTTTATAAAACAGAAAACAATATTAATATTTCAAATTTTATCAATGAACAACTTAATATTTATTGTATTTTAGTATGCTGAGGGACAGCCCAATAATTTCATGCAAAATACAACCAACCTCTGAATAATTATTTTTATGTAACTTAAATTTACACGTAAATGTTCATATACTTCAAATATAAACTGCAGTTACAAGAGATGAGCCTGCAATTATAGTTACTATAAACTGTTTATACAACTCCATATTAATGGACACAGAATCACCACACTCCCACAATCTTTAACTAAACTCTCAGTCATATTTTCAGTACAAAAATGTAGATACACACTTTTTACAAATTATCACTTTGCATACCATCCATGCTTTACAGATTAAAGGACAAAGTATCTTTCTGTTTCATTAGCAGTATTATAAAGTTAGTTAGGAAAAAAAAAAAGCTTGAACAGGATACTTCAAAATACACCCTACTTTATTTTTAAAGATCAAGATTTTTTATTATTACAAAATAATTGTAGTCATGGTGATTTTGGGCTTGATTATTTACTGGTTTAGTCTCTATACAATGGTACACACCCAGGAATAGAGTAGCGATTGCATGTTAAGTGACAATGCTAACATTTTGCACATAATTTACAGATGGGAAAGCTTTTAAGAACTGGCCCTACACATACAGGTTTCATAATTCATTATTGCAACATCATTGGAGTTTTCACTTTTCTTCTTTTCTACCTAAATGATATAATCAGTCCATGGTGGCAAAGACACAGCTTTTCTGCAGAAAACAAACATCTCTTGGAGTACACTGAATTACAAAGCTGCTACAGTTAACATCATTTAGAAAGTCAACGGAACTTACACATCCAAATTATGTCTGTAATTTTTAAAGCAGTAAAAAACTTACTCATTTGTTTGCAGTTTTGCAGCACAAAAGTAGCAGCCTTGTTTAGTTCCTCATCCTGAGACTCTGTTAATACCTGAATCATAAGTGGAAGACCGTTGTTCTGGAGTAGCTCACACTGGTTTTCTTCTAAAATTGGGAATTGTAAAGAAAAATACTGGTTTCAGCCTCATACACACTTAATACTACAGTAATTTTAGAACCTAATACTAATAACTTTCAGGGAAATTCTGAAAAAGAGATTTTCATTATGGATCCAAGCATGCTATAACGACCTGCTAAACAGTTTGCAGCAGAAGCACTCGAGATCACACAGGATGGTTTGGCTACAGCTCAAAGTTCTTTTAAGAACGTTAAAGGAGGACCGAGACCAATTGTACGACGGAGACCCAAACTCATTTAATTGTCACCTAAAATATTTGAATGATCGTTTCTGTATTTCTTTTCCTCTGGTATATATATACTCTCAAGGTATATACACTACATTTATGGAAGCCTTGATATGCTGATGTATCAAAAGTTTAAGGTTTACGTTAGGAAAGCTCTAACAAAATTAGTAGTTTATTCCTGGTCTAGCTAATCTGTTCCTCCACATTAGCTAAATTTTTTTATTGTGATCTCATGTGCAGTATGTGTTCATAAAACTGACACCTTTATAAAAATAGTTCTTTGTTGTCTAAACTTGGTAAAACAAAGGAATCAACAAAAATTGAAATACATTTATTTTGTCACTGTTGACATTTTAAGAGAAACTTTTATTCTGTTGGTTTATTCATATTACTATTTGAAAGACATTTTCCATTAAGCTTTGTTTCAGTTATTTCTTCATAAAAAGTGTTTTAAAATATCAGATTTATCACCTACTGAGCTAACTGTTAAACTTTTTACTGCCATTTAGAGAACGATAATCAGGACTTTCAAACATAATCAATTTTTCTTGCGTTTGTGAACATACATAAGAAAAAATATTAATATAAATAAACAATGATCAGTATGCCAAACTTCCCATTTGATTTGCTTGTACTACCATAAAATATGAACTTAAGTAGTTAGTGTGCTTGGGAAAGCTCTTGAGTAGCCTGGCAAAAACATTTCAGGGTTACCTACCAGTTCAAAATTTGCTACTTCAAAACCAATACTGTTACATAGCTTTGAAAAAAAAAATCTAATAGCTATGTAAGCAGCAGACAGAAGCTGTATATATCAAAAGCCATTAAAATAGAGCTCAAAAATAATTATTTGGCATGTATGTATGATAGTATTTTTCACGTCCGGATGAATTTTACCCTGTGATACCTAAGCCCAGCTCTGAATTCTTGCATAATAATCTACTTTTTCTAAGCTCTTTAAGATACTGTCTGTTAACAGGTTTTAAAATGTAAAGATGGAATATTATGGCAAACATTTTTTCCTGAATGTTAATATTACATTTTTTAATAGAACTTTCCTTCATATTCCAGTCTTGATGGAATGACACCACTGAAATAGTGAGCGTATGAGAATTTAGTAGAAATTGACCGGGAAAAAAAAAAAAAACTTACCGCAAACTTCAGTACAGTGTCCGATTGTTAGAATAATACTAACTTTTTCTCCCGTATCCAAAGTGTCATTGGACAGCAGCTTCAGAAGCTCTGACACAGTGTGATACTTTGTCAAGACAACACCCATGGCAGCTATTATATTAACAATAATTTGAAGAAAAATAGTGTAGATAATAAATATACAGGCATCATCCAAGTATAAAATACTATTGTTCAAGGGAACTCTACAGACCTCTGAAAGCCTTGGGCTTGCAGAATTCTCTTCACTCTCTTTAATTTTAACACTTGAAATTACCACATCCCTCCTAGTGCAGTAATTCTGCCAATGCTACTCCCCGCATCCAATGCTGCCCTTTCTCCCAGACTGTGCTCTATGGTGATGTGGCAGATTATCTAATAAACAAGAGCTCTGCAAGTTTTGCAGACATCTGCTGAGTTTCTCCACATCCTTTATCAGTTCCAGAACAGAGCAAGAAAGAGTAGAATAAGGTTTGATACATAGTCCATCTGCCACAAAAAGAGCTAGGAGTGCTTCTGGTAGACAAGATCCAAGCTGACTGCCAACACCCAGTCCGCAGCTTTACTTACACAAAATTAGATCTAGCATCTTATTTTTAATTTGCAATACGGCTTAAATTTCACTTTTTAGCAACAATGGGAAAACAACCCACCTCAGAACTGAATCATTCCCCATATACACATCTGAATTTTTAAAAACCTGCAATATAAACTGGGATGTATATAACCTAATTGCCTTTTAGAATCCACTCATATCACTTTTCCACCAAAACCAGACTTTAAAAATTTTGTTTTCAAGTTACCATATATAAAAAAGGGTAGCAGTCTTTTCACTCACAGTCATTAGCAATGCAGGCATCCAGAGTCTTTGTTACTACTACTGCAAGCTTTGTGTTTGAATGACTCATACAAGAATCATGCATAAACTTGATGAGAACTTTAGCTAATGTATCCAATCCTCCAACAGAAACAAAATATTGCTGCACATATGCTTAGTGAAAAAAAAAAAAAAAAAAAAAAGAAGAAAAAATGTGTCTTAATAGAAGTTGCAAATTGTTTTAGTATTTTATCAATCATCACAATTTGTCTGTGCATGTATTGATCATTACATTTTCACCCATACAACAGTTGGGTATATATTAATCTCAAGAAATGTAGTAATTGTCTTATAAAATAGTTACAGGAAACCCATGACCCTAATGTATGCAAACAAACAGCAAACATTATGCCCAAATTCTACCTAAGTCATTGTTTTCAGAGAAGTAATAATGATTTATATTTGTAAAATACTTCTAATCAAAACAACTTCCCAATAGTTTTTACTGACTTTACTAAATGTAACCAGTTTGTTACTTACGCTTATGCATAATGCTGTGTAAGTAAAGATGGTGGATTACAGTTTTCAGAATAAAAGTTAGAAGAAGAGCAGATGAATTTGTAGAAACTGACAAAAAGAAATCAGACATTTAACTATCAAATTAAACTTACTTTTACAGAAGAAAAACTATTTAAAGCTTGAGCTGCACTTACAGTTATTTGCAACTGTGAGACTAACAAATGAACAAATAGGACGAACTATCTCAGGCTCTGTGCAACTTTCAAGCCACTCTTTGGCATATGGAAAAACTGAACAGCAAATGTTTTGATTATCTTCTGGAAAAGTAAAAACAAATAACCCCAAATCAAAATGTGATATGAAATTTCAGTTGATCAGTAAAAATCAAAACAAACTGTTGCCACTTTGGAGAAATACTTTAAATCTTTTTCACATTTTTAACAGCAACACTTACCATTCTGAGGATTGTTAACACAGGCACAGAGGGTACTGCAGACTGAGGACCACAGCTGATAGCACTGATTAGTATTTTCGTCTGACAGATTCATCTCAGATGTTGAAAGAGTTGTTCTGTTAAGAACAATGCAAACAAGTCCCAAATAGTCAAACCAACATAAGTCATAAACAGTCTATCATTTTTTTGTTTGAATTGCACCTGTCTGTGTACCTGAATAGCTGTAGCAGAAGACCAATGCAGCCTGTATCTCTGACATAGGTTTGCCCACTTTCTAAAAAACACATACAAGACTCCAAAGACACATGCAACTTGAGGTGAAAATCTTAATGTCAAGTTTAAATTACATATAGACATTCCATTACCGTTTCCCAGGTATAGATTCCCCCCTCAAAAAAAACAAATGCAAAATCATACCAACACACAGGCAAAAATGTTCCATTTCTATGTGTGTATTTTTCTATACAGTGTCAGAAACTACTGGTTTGGATTTTTTTTTTAAAACTGTGATTTCATTTTTAGAACTAAAACACTTTCTGCTATTTAAGAAAATCTCAGTGAGCTATGATCTACTTACACACTTCAGGTTCAGTTAGGCGGAACCATTCGTCTTTATAAATTAACTTTACCAAAACATTACTTATTGAGTGTTCCAAATTTCTGTACTGCAGATTGGCAAATAGAAAAAATTGGTATTTTAACACAGGAAAAAACCCAACTTACTGTTATTTGAAACCAGTACTAAGATGACGTAAACAGACATCCTTTTCAAGTTCACACCAGAATCCGTATTAATTAAAAATAAAATGAGGTCTTCAAACAATGCAGAAGTACACAAAGTTTGTTGACAATAAACTGAAAGCAGAAAATAGAAACCATTAAGTCCTAAAGCAAGCCATTCATAGTTCTAAATTATTTCTGTAATATAGTAACTAGAGTCTCGGTTGCATCCAGTATGTGGTGAGTGGAGACAAAACAGGACTATACAGTGTCTGAGGGCTTCCCCCTGTAGGCAATTCTAAACCAACCAGGACCTAGGCAAATTTTGGAATAATCAACAGGTCATTTAACACTTGCTGCTGAGGAAGAAAAGTAGTACAGCTGTCTGGTATCATAAAGACATGCTCCTAACACAAATCAGCAAGACATTTCTCCAGATCTGGGGATGGACAGTGAACTAGTGGCACCTTTACTACCCCTCACTCGAGCTGGTAATCTTGTAATCTGATTTTCTGAGACAAAAATAATGGAGACAAAGCATAAACAGACGTAATAACATACAATCATAACTCACTCACAAATACAAATAATATTACTTTTTATTACCATTACTTTCTATTATAATTCCTAATGTAAATAAAGCTGCTTCCTTTACTATGCAATGAACACTTGACTTTGCAAGATCTTTTATAAACATCAAACCACCAATTTCTCGAAAATATTCACTTGCTTCACCTACAACAGAAAAAAGAAAAAAATTAAACTCTTGCTTCCAAGATTTTATAACTTCTCAAGGCTTATATCCTTTAGATAGGTTTGTTGTTTTTTTTTTTTAAAAAAGTGACAGCCAGCTTCTTAACATATACTGTAAACATAAAATTGTGTTGTTTCTATGGAAAAATGCTTCTTACTGTTTTGCTGACAAATTGAATAAATAGTGATCAAAGCCTCTTTCTGAGATTCAGGGCAGCCCATCTGATATTTAAGGCATTCAAGCAGTAAGTTTAAATCTGTTTTCATATCTAAGAACAAACACAAAAAAATAATTTATCTTTTCTTTATATCATTCTATTTAGTTTTACAATAAACCTGCCCCAAAACATAGTATATATTTACAAGAAAAAAACAAAAAAAGAGCAAGAACGGAGCTACGCCACTTTTATCCATCCATAAATAACAAACATATTAACCTAAAAATATTCCTCTCCAGAATTTGTTTTTTGAGCTAAAGTAACAGCTACCGTTTAAGATTTCTGGCCTTTAATTACTAGTAACTATTAGTAAATGTGATGCAAATTACTGAACATAAAATTGACAATCTCAAGGTGCATTACGTGTATTTAAATGAATATTGCAGAACCATGAAACTATCCAGAGTGAAAATACAATTGAAAATCTACAGAGTGAATAGGGAAAGAATCCAACAAAGAAAGGCTTGCTATAAGATATTTGGTTACAGAAGACTTAATCACTTATCACAGCAGCTAGAATCTTGAATGAGGTTGTTAGGTTAGTAAGCTAAAACAAAGCATTTTCTGGGCACCTACATACAATCTTAGGTTGGTAACCCACATTAAAAATCTGTTTCTTAATCTTTTTGGTATAATAAAAATACTTATTTAATAATTACTTGCAACAGTAACAAAAGATACTGTGTATTTTAAACACTTCTAAGGTTTGGAGTTTCTTGAATATAAAATACATTAAAAATGTTGGTAAATATCAGGGAAAAAAAAGGTGGTATTATTTATTATTTGGAAGTTTGTCATTAGATTTGCCCTATAGCTATTCAATACAGAATCCAAAACTTTGGCAACAAGGAAAAAGAACATTTCCCTAACAGCTCACAACCCCATGACAGACCTATGACAGTCTAATAAAACATTGTAAAATTGATGCAGATAATAAATGACAAATTATATTAGCTATCTTACCACACTGTTTCTTCTGCACCTTTTGATTTTCCATTTTTGATTGTATCCCTGTTCTTGTTCTACAATGGCAAGGAAAGTGTTTTCTGTTTATATTAGCAGTGTTTATGATACAATATGCAGTATAATTTTTTTTTAAATACACTCAAATTTCCTGGTTTTACACTATCATCTGACATACAGTGTAACATGTTCTTGCATTAGCAAAGATTTTATTTGTAAATGCAGTATTTTATACTAACACTGCATTTGTAACTACTATGTTACTACGTTTTGAAAGTTAACATTCTGAAGAGATCAGGCGATTCCAAACTACCACCACTGTGGGGCACCAAACACGTTCCTGACATTAAAAATATATCTAGCTCTGTGTCATTTATCACAATGACTCTCATCCAATTTTCCTTACAATAGGTTGCCAATTTTGTCATCAGCCAAGAACTGGCAGTAAGACCACCAACTAATGTTATGTGGAGGATCAAGTGTGTCCGACATCCACTATAAAACGTTCAGCCTCCTACTGCTACTCAGTGAGCCACTAAAGCATAACTATGTTGTTTTATTGGTATTGATTAAAAACAATGAGCATGAACTGAGACATTATATCTTAAACTGGAAATTTATTTCAGTTCACCAAAGCAATTATCACATTATGTAAACCATGTAAACCAGAAAAATCCACATCATTGATTCTACATAAACCTAACATGCCAGCATCTGAGAGTTGAGCAGCAGTCAGTGAAATTCAGGTTTAGAAGCAGAAAGATGGTCCCTTAATGACATCCCAAACACAAAGAAAGATTGATGCAAGCATCACAGTAACCTAATTCAATCTCTCCACAATTATTTAGCACCAGATAGAAACTTTAAATCAGTGATAAATCCATCTTAATAATTACATTAGTTATCCTTCTTTAAAGTAGAGCAAAGGCTTTAAGAAATGTGTCATCTTAATGAAAACAGCCAGCCCTGTTTTCCATTTAGTTACTGACTGTTCCCAGTCTTTTGCTGCTTCCGCTAGTTCAAATGCTCTGCACACCCCCTTACAGTAGCATTGGTAAAATGCATGTTTTGAGAGGGAAAGTTTAAAATCAGTTCATCTTCCTTTACTCTTTCAGAACTGTTAATATATACGCATTTAATTTTCTTGCAAATCTAACCCTGCCACATTAGTGGAAAGCTTGCAAGTCTTCCTCACCTCTTTTTGCCCCTACTGATACCACCCTGCTAGCCCCAAGAGAAAACTAAAACTACTTATATATTCCTTAACAAAAGCAAAGCTGTAAAGATGAGCTCACTTTGGAGCTAACTTCATTTCAGCAAACTGTAACTAAATAGACACACAATTAAAGAGCCTTTAATATAAGAAGCACAAGTTTTTTTTAAATACTATAGAAGTGTATTTCTTGACCTTAACTGAATCTGTTTCTTTGACAATATACAGAAGGTACACAATATAATACTTACAAGCCAGCCTACGTAGGGCAAAGATGACAAGATAAATAACAGGATTTGCTGCAACCGTCTTCTGGCAAATGTTGCATATAAAGGAAAACAGATAACCTCTTCCCCATCAGTTGTGGAAAACAACCTCATAACATCCTGTCAAACCTCAAAAAAACACTCTTAAGAAAAAGTACAGGTATCTTAATCTGCTTGTTCAGCAGCAGTAGTCCACAGAACTTGAACATCCAGAAATATCAACAGAAGAAGTTAGGGAGCTCACACCCGGGCCGGTGTCATCCCGTCAGCCAAGGCCTGGGCTGCTGGACTTGCCCCTGCACAGCCACACCAGGGCAGAAACAGCTTGTCTCACAGGTAATTTTCCTTTCTAAAACCTCAGTCAAATCCTGTACACGAGAAGTCCAGGTGTTTTACTGAAATCAAAATTCATGCCAGCAGCTGAGTTGCATCCACTAACTTTTGAAAAACACAAAAACACTGTTTAGTGTAACAGACCTTTGAAGTCTTCTAGTGCTATTTTAGCATTCATCTCATCCCTCTTCCCACTCAAGCAAGCCACATCTTACAGCTCATTATCAGACTTTGAAGGAAAAGTCTTAACAAGTACTCCAGATCATCAGAAACATAAAAAGGAAAGAACATATAAAAGACTGGGGGGGGGGGGGGGGAAGGCCAACAGTCTAAAGACGAAACAGCAAAAACATTCTTCTGCCTTTGGGATGGGTGGGGACTCTGCGGAGGGGGAGAAATGGGCGCGGGGCAGGTACCTGTGGGTCTGGCGGCGGCAGCCCCGGGCCCGCCCCGCCGCCCTCAGCCGCGCGCCCTTCCCGCCCCCCGGCGGCTCTCGCGCAGCAGCGGGTCCCGCCCGCCCTCGGCCGAGCGCGGGCCCAGCCCCAGCGCGGCCCCAGGCCGAGGCCGGCGATGTCTCGGTTTTGAGTGCCGCTCGGTTCCCATACTCTGCCTTTAGGAAACTACAACAACGCCAAAAAATCCAGTTTGCCACCACCTGGCATTTACCAGCCACCGAGGCTGCTGGAAACATCATCTTTTACTACATGAATGCAGCTGAGAGAACCAAGCATTAGGGCACACAACCCCTCTCCCCAGTGTCCTTCAACTCAAGCATTACAGCTCTCCCCACCTCTTCCCACAGTTAGATCCTCAGACCATCACAGTTACATCCTCAGACCATCACAGTTACATTAGCCTTTCTCATCCTTTTGTAAGCCATCCTCCCCTCACTCTGGAGAGCAGCTTTTATGAAAAGCTTTTATGAAGAGCATTCAGCTCTGCTCCAAACCAGGTAAGCTAATTTGTAAATTCAACTTACCACACCAAAGAACAACTGCTGCTTTTGCCTTTCAAAGGTGAATCGGAACATTCAGGGAAAAAAAAAAATAATCTGGATTTGGGATATAATTTTATTGTCCTCGGGAAAAAAAAAAAAAAGATAAAATCATTACAAATAAAGGAACTTTAATTCGCAGGTAATACAGAACAGTCCAGTCAGTGGCAGACCACCACAATATTTACAGGACAGAGCAGCACCCGGTGGCAACAAATGCAAGATCATTATCCTATAGCTGGAAAGTCGCTGAAGTCTGTGACATTCCACTGTAAATGTAGGTGTTATTAAAAATTACAAACTGCCCTGTAATGACTTTGATAACCTCCTGTGCAGCAGCTCCTGTAAAAGAAAGAAAGAAAAAAATATTAACCTGAAGGTAGTTAGCAGGTCATATTTTAAAAACAGTAAAAAAATGTTATCTGGACTCTCTACACTGGAATTATTTCAAATGTGCCTGATACAACTCCTTGGAGGTAAAAATGGCTTTCATTACTTCTCAGTATAAAACAGGCTCAGAAAGCTGTTACTTCCAAAGTTAGCTTTGCATACACTTCACTGAGTATACTTTCTTTCTCCATTTACATACACAGAGAATAAAAATGTGTTAGCAGACCCATGCAAGTTGTGACCTCTCTAAATGAAATAAAGTTCAATTTAAGAAAAAAAAAAAGTCACATGCAGTGAAACTGTAAAATAAATTGAAGAGTCACTTCACTGTGATCCCTTTGTGTTCTCCTGAAATATGAAATATTCTGTAATTTCTTCAGAAGTTATCTTATTTTTCTTGCACATCCCAAGCTCTATTTAATCAGAAAAAAATTCCTACATCCACAGATCGTTTAATACACTTATCTTCAGCACCACATGAAGCCAAATGAAGAAAAGTTAACCAATATATCAATTTTGAGCATCTGTTAAAACATATTTAGTTTTGATAATACCTACAGTTTGAATTAAGCTAAGCAATCAAGGCTATTTAACAGATACTTAACAAATACGTTGTGTTCAAGGAAGACCTGTATTGTGTTAATGTTAGTACAGTTTTTGTTTTTTGTTTTTTTGTTTTTTTTTTTTTTCACTCAAAGCCTCTTTCAAGCATGTAATTTTTAAACACATTTTCAAGCTACTAGAAGTGATCTACTGAGATTATTTTTAAAGTTTATTTGGTTTCTTTTAGTGACTTCAAACCCACATTTTCTATATACCATAGGCCACACACGGAGCATGAAAGGGAAGGATTTTATTCTAATACTACCTTTGACTACAGTCTGTGCTTACAGTCTTTGCCCTGACAATACGAAGTAATTAACACAGCCGTGATTCCGACTGAAGGATGTACTATATATAGAATACAGTGACATTCTTACCTCCCATGAAGGCCGCAATAGCAAATGGCTCAGCAGCTCCATAGCGACAACTGGATAGCAAAGTAACAGTTAGTATTTTCAGGTCAGTTTTACTGACTAACTGACACTTAAGATACAATACTTACAACTCGTGAACATAGTCATCTTTCACCACTACAGACAACCCATGTTCTTGTAAGAAGCCAGTAAGGCATGATTTTAGTTTTCCAATATCGTCTTCTACCTGATAGTTGTAGACACCTGGAAGGTAAGTTAACTATTTCATCACAGAACTGTAACACCATACTCAAAGTTAATGGGTTTAAATGGCAAGATAAGTATTTTGATTTTTCTGAAAAGTTTATAAACTGATTAATATATTAAAACTAGATTAATATTAATCCAGTATTCTGTTGATGCTACTCACGATAATGACAAATTACTGCATCACTGAACTGATTCATAATCCATGCAACCCACTTCAGTAGTACCAATTCAGATAAATTCTTTAAGTTCCCAAAGAGAAAAAATTCTCATTTTAATTTTCACATTTTTAAAGTTATATTAATACAGAAACAAAACCACAACTAATGCTATATTTGTAGTTTACAACTAATATTATAGTAACTATTTGATTTTTGTATTTGTTTTGATGATGTTAAGTAACTCTGGTATTAACATACCTGGATATCTACCATGCTGCTTATAAAATCTATCTACAGCACGTAGCATCAAGTACAGCACTACTTCACTGTCTGGGTTATCCATCTGGGAAACTGAGAACAGCAAGAGAACTGGTTAACTGGTACAGATTAAATGGAAATAGAAAGGTTTTTCATTACTTGAAATCAAGTACTTCCCATGTGCTTAAACTGTAAAATTTGCAGTAAATCTTAATGAAAACAATCTGCAACTGAGAATCTCAATGAGTCAACTGTAAGATACACGACTTTGACTCCAGAGTGTATGACAAAAATCATACTGTATTTATTCAATATAAACTGTTCAGTGATGACAATTACATTTTAACTCCAACAGCTGCTATAACATTAAATGAGATAGTCCTTAGTTATAATTCTGGGATTTGAAATGCATGCTTCATATATTTAACTGTAATTATAAAACGTCTTTAATCCCTTAACACATAGCTCAGTACTCTAAATACCAACTACTATTGAAATAATACTGCATATTACCAACTAATTCAAGCTTTCACTTAAATTCTAAATATTACAAAAAATATGTATACACAGAACGTATACACTTTGTATATACGTCTTGCTCCAAACAGATGACTTACATAAGCTTAATTTAAACAAACTTTGATAAAAAAATATTTTCAGCTTTTTATTTTTAATTTATGTAGGTTCAAAAAATAAAATGCAATATTAAGTAACTAGTTTGCTAGTTCATATATTGAAAAGATAAGCTGAGAGGGGCCAAGATAATCATTCTTATATCTCTGGTCAGGTGAAAGCACCTTTCCACCTCTGTCAGAAGTAACTTAGGTACAGAAAAGATAAGTTTGAAGAAAACAATGTTTTATTTATGTGCTATCAAAAAAAAAATCAACAAGAAAAAACCCTGAAACATAGATTAATACATAAAGTCATTTTTGACTTTTCAAAATCCAAGTGAAATCAACATTCCAAACTTAAAAAAAAAAAAAATCATGCTTCCAGCTGACACCAAATTATATAACTGTACCATGAAATAGAAGGTGTAACATACAATTCTTTTTGATCACAAAACCACTTCACGTTGAAAATGTAATTAAAGTATGTGCCAAAAAGGAGTATACTTACTGATTTCATCCTTGTTAAAAGTGTTTAAACCATATTCTTCAGACAGAGATCTACATCGTACTACTCTGAGAAAAGCTGAGTTGCTGCCTAAGCAGAGGGTGCAGAAAGGACAGCATTACCTACTTGAATGTGTTACCAATTACTAAATCTTTCTAAGTCTGTATCTCTGACATGTTAAACATGAAAGACCAGAACTTTCCATAATTTCATTTGACCCTTTTCTGTTTCTTCCAGCTTGCAGTAACAAAATCTATTAAACTACCTTTAGGTCTACAATCATAAGTATTTCTGTGACATCCTTTGTGCTTATTTACTTCTGGGATCTAAACGCATCTGCAACGCTAATGTAACAGCTCACAACATGTATAGCTCTTCCATAGCAGTTCATCAATCACAGCCATCAACTTCATGCTTTCCTCTCCCATGCTGATGAACACAGGTTCATCTTCTGCTACAGCCACCAGTGTCTCACATAATCTCAGTCAATATTCTGACAGTACAGCTACAAGTGGGAAAAGGTTATTCTCCAGTATCACTGCTACGAAACAACTCAATATGCAGCTACTAGTTTGCACTCAAAAACGAACTGCAAGGTTGTTCAAACTCCCAGCAAATGATTTATCAACGGAAAGGCAGTGTGCTCTCGGCTATGTGCTTACAGGAAAATTTTCCAGTCGCAGGGAGACTTAGCCAGGCTGCTGTGTGGATATATACACATATCCAGAACACAGCCTCAAATGCCACCAACAATACTCCTTGCTGCATCAGTTTTACCTTTTCAGACTACAGAAGTTTACAGAGCCTGCTCTCTGAAGTCAGTATCACAGAATGGACAAGACTGATTAAGTACTCATCACAGGAAGGACAAGTCATCTGCTACCTGCTCTTTTGACCTGAAAAAATGTCTTATCTTTTAAAAGCCAACCTTTATAGACTCATTATGGAGAGATACAACATCTGTTACTTCCACTGAAAGCAAGGGATGCAACTGCTAAGCACTTACTTGAATAATCCAAATACTGAGTTACCAATTAATAACTACATTACCATTCAAGAGTTTTTGATTATTTGATCATTTGCATAGACAGAGCAACAGAAGAAGTATACTCACAAAGCAATTTTACTTCTCTCTCCGAAATAGATTCTGGTGCCTAAAAGACAGAATATTCTAATTCCAGTACATACAATGACCAGAGAATTTATATTTTCAGATATATTCATATATTCATTGTGAAATAACTTGTCATTCTTGTAAATAAAGGTATCTTAAATTGTAAATAATATATCCCTGCATGCCTTTTACTTTTATATGACCAAACCAAAAGCAGTAGTAAACCAGACTACAAATATCAAATTTCACTAAAACTTACTTAAGCCTTTTGAAGACAATGAGATTAATTAAACCTTCTCTTTTCCCATCTGTCCCATGACTTATTTCTGTATAGAATGTCAGGGTAAAAATATTTCTACCCTGTCAGAATGGCCATACATTTATAATTACCTTGCCTAGGGATTGTAACAATTTAGCAGCATGGTTACCCACAGCAGCAATATCCTTCTTTGCTTTTTCACGGTATCTGTTAATAATAAAGAAGTCTTAATAATTACAGCATAAAGCCATCAACTTCACAGTGAAGACCGTTTCTTTTTGATTTATATTATAAAGACAAAATACAAGCCACATGAATGCAAGTGAGCTACCTCAAGGCCATGAATGCGCTTATTACTTCCCTGTATGACTGTCTGGCACCACTCAGCTGTTCACTAACGTGTGGCTTAGAAACCAGTTAATATTAAAATTAGTATTACTACAGAGGAAGAATATTAGGTAGCTACAGAACAACAGCTGTATGTCCTTCATTGGGCTTCTAATATGTCATT